TTGAAGTTTAAGGATGGCTCTCAGGCCAGCCTATTGGGATTTGAATCCTGTATCCTCCACTTATCAGCTGTGTGATTTGGGGGAAGTTATTTAACTTCTCTGTGCCTTGGTTTCCTAATCTGTTTAAGTAGGAAAATAATAATTCATGTAACTCATGGGGGGATTGAAAGAGCTGGCACATGTAGGGAGCATAACACTGTGCCTGGCTCACAACAGGCATTACTTAAGACCTAGCTGTTACTTTTTCCTGGTGTTTGGCCCGTATTCCTGGCCTGATGAGGGTGCATGTTTCCTGTGCTAGCAGGACAAATTGTCTTGTTCATAAATTCAAGGTGTAACCCCAGAAGAACACTAGACCAAAATTTATATGGTACCACCTCTTAAGCATCCCGTCAATGACATACATGCTCGTGTTGCAAAAAGATTCGATTGTAAGCTTTGAGAAAATTTGATTGCAGCCTAAGATGAGGGAGATATTGGTGTTAAGACAAATAACCCCTAAGACATCGGTGCTATTCATAGCATCCTGGTTTAGCCCAGTGGTTCTCTAAAGTGGGACCCCTGACCAGCAGCATCAGCAGCATCTGGGGGCTTGTTAGAGATGCAGAATCTGTGGCCCACCCCAGATGTGTCCAGTATTTTGGGGGGGAGGCACTGGTCTGAGTTTTGGGGATGCCCCTAGGGATTCAGCCTGCCGGATGATCACATGTGTCCCTGACCAGCAAACTGGAGAAGCTGTCAGCCTTTCGCACGGAACTCCTGTCCCTCCTGATCCATATGGCGGTCAACATCTTCACCATCCATTGCGTAGTCTGAAAACGTGAATGGCATTTCAGAGTTCATCGTGATTTTAATTTTTACTGCGTTAACCTACGTGGTGGGTATTAGGGTTCCACTAATTTTATCAGACTCATCTGCGATCTTTGAGAATAAGGACCATAAATAAAAATAATTGCAATATTGGTGAAAATATGAAAGCAAAGAAAACAAATAGGTCCCAAATCCGGCCAAAATCTCAGATATTTCTATCCTGTGGGCCCATCCTTTGGGCCTGCCATAGAATGGCTTCCATTGAACTTGACCTTAGTGATATATCTTCAACTTTCATTCAGGACTTTATAAGAAATAGCCACACAGTTTGACGCAGTGGGTATTGCATGGTTATGTCAAGGGTGTTTCCCACTGTGTGGCCCAGTGTTCTTTTTACAGAGGAGTTTTTTTCCTCTTAACTTATTTTGAAATAAGAATAGATTCATGGGAAGTTGAAAAACCAGTACCGAGAGGTCCCATGCATGCAGTTTCCCCCAATGATCACATCACATGTAACCATAATATAATATCAAAACCAGGAAATTGACGTTGATAGAATCCACAGGCTCTATTCCGATTTTACTCATTTGTGTGTGTATAATTTTATGCAATTTTAGCACAAGCAGATCTGTGTAACCATCACAATCAAGTTACAGAACAGTCCTGTCACTAGAAAGATCCTCTCTTTGATCCTTTGTAGTCACACCCATCTTCCCCACCGCCTGCCCCTAGCTGCAGGAGCTCTTTGTGCACCAGCCTCCGTATCAGAACACGAGGATTTGATCTTGCTTGATGGATGCTGCGAAGATTGCACTGGACCATGTTCATCCTCTGGCTTTGGCTCCTGGCAAGATTAGGGTGCAATTTCTAGCACCCTCCCACAAACAGGCTTGTGTCTGTCTCTGGGTCCTTTTGAATGTAAATCTGTTTAGCTTCTCTGGGCTACTCCCAGTTTTTCACCCCACACGCAGCCGGGGAGCTGAGCAGATGAAACACAAGTTTCTGTACCGAGTGAGGGAGGGGAGAAGGCCGAATCACCACATTGCTTTTATTTGCTCTTGTTATGAAGCCCTAATACTAGCAATGGTAGTAATGATAAATGCACTAACATTTATGTTACTCAAAGACCTTGCCAAGCCTGCTGTCGGCTTGTCCTCTTTAATCCTCACAACAAATCCATGGGGAGGCGACACTTTTTTAGAGATCAAGAAATTGAGACCCAAAGGGACTAAGGTGCCATTCGGTGGTGGAGCCCAGCCTCATGCTTGGTTTTTCCTGACTCCCAACCCCCTGCTTCTGTTTTGTTTTGCTTTTTTCTGTACCACCACGGTCTTCATTTCCCTCCCAGTTTGATTATACAAATAGATGTTTCTTGATGTGTTTACTTGAATCCCTCTTGACATTGTATTTTTCATTATTAAAGACAAATCCTTCTTTCCTTTTTGCCCAGACTTTTGAATTTCTGGCTTGTGGTATGATGCTAGAATTTTCCTGACACATTTGCCCGTCCTACGATCTTTTAAAAGTAGAATAACATAGTGAACTGAGTTTGTGAGTTACGTGAAATCATCCTCATCAGATATCATATTCAACATCATGGCGTGTGCTTGACGGCCTTTACTGGTGGATTCCTATTAGGGAGGTCCCCTCGGTGGGGTTAGTCTGCATTGAGCGCCATCATTTTCTTGACTTCATTTTCTTACTCCTAACTGAGGGTTCCATTACGTTAGAGAAATACGCTCAGATAGAGTTTAAGATAAAGCAAGAGGATGGTCCCAGACTCGAGCATTATAGACGTGAGATTAAGCGTTATACTCTACCTCCCTCCAAATGTGTGGAATGTCAGTGCCTCTTTTATGTGAATGCCAAAAACTGCAAATTGGATCCATTGAAGGAAGTAATATCCAAGAGGTAATTTTAGTGAGGTTTCAAGGTTGTCGTCTCACTTTTCCAGTTCACTCCCCTTCAGGACCAGATCTTCTTCCTGAGGTTCTGGGGTCTTCTCTGGACCTCCTCTCACTCTCCGGGCCCTCCTTGGCGCCTCTCTGACCATTCACCTCTGTCATTGGCCCTACGTCCCTTCTCCTAATGCCCCATATTCCTTCACACTCAAGCCTTAGCTCCTGAATATGTTTAGATGATTGATAAACGGTCTACCTGGAATACTCATCATGGAAGACATCATAAAGAATGCCTCGACTCATAATTAGTCAACTTGAATACACCTGGCCTCGGAAAATCAGTGAGAAACTAATACCTAATGCAGGCATTTGAGATGCCAGAACAGGGCGACTCGCCACGCATCTTACACGGTTTTCTCATTTAACTGAAATGTGATTAAAAAGTAAAAATACGCTTTTTCCATTGCGATGCAATGAGCAGTATTTCATTGTGAGGCAAATGAAATCATTTCCTGACTGTCAGGGCCTGACTCAGAAGCAATTTGCTGTATGGGGATCACAGTAAAGACCTTGCAAGATTGATTTGTGGTTTTGCCATAATGTATGTAAAGTAGCAATTAATACTCTGAGCCTCTCTTTGAAATGCCTGGGGAGAGAAGTAAAGGAAGCTCTCTTTGTTTTAAACAGCCTAGACCAACTGTTCCGAGAGAGGTTTAAAGAAGCTTCTGGTCTGTTTGGGGTGGGAGAGTTTTGAGCCTGGCCTGGACGGGCGATCTGGACGGAGGGGTCGGGGGCAGTGCTGCTGAGTGGTGAGTCTTAGGTCTTTCCACGTCCAGGGCTTAGGGCAGCCGGTGGGGAAGTAATTTGCAAACCGAAGGAGGATTTGGAGGGTGGGAGGGGGTGTGATCTATTCATTTAAATTGTTTGCTCAACAAATATTTATAGAGATCTACTCTGTGCGCTGTGCTAGACACGGTAAATCTGGTCCCTGCCCTCAGCAAGCTAACAGGGCCAGACAGGTCATGACACAGGTCAGGACACTCACGACTTGGTGGGGAGTAGAAGATGCTACAAGAATAGGTAACTTGGCACCTTCCCAATCCTGGTATCGTAGGGCACCTCCTGGAAGAAAGGATGCGCAAGTGAGCCCGGGAGGATGAGCAGCAAATAACCAGATGGAGAGGGTTTGAGGAAGAGGGTTCCGGACAGAGGGTGGGACCGCAGATGGGAAAGGCGGGGCCTACGTGAGGAGCAGGCCCGGAGAGAGAGGGAGGTGGGCACTGTCAGGCTGGGAGCAGGGCCCAGGTGGCAACTGTGGGCCACTGGAGAGGCTGGTGAGGGGAGAAGGAGGTGGGACTGCCGCTTGGATGTGATGGGGACAGGGTAGGGGAGTCATGAGCAGCTGGGAGAGCTTGGTGCCAAGAGGAGACATGGAGACACAGAGAGGTGAGGTTGTAGGAGAAGGATGGTGCTTTCGCTTTAGAAATGTGCTGTGTCTGTGGACAACAGAGGGTAGGCCGTGGGTGGCTTTTGTCTGCAGCTTTGGAACTGTGTCTGAGTTAGTGTTTGGGAGACACTGTGGATGGCGAGCTCCTGTAGTGCGGGATGGGAGCATCTGAGCTTGAGAAGAGCAAGGGGGCAGCCCCGGAGCGTCTCCTCGGCAGCTGAGGCATCTGTGATGCTGGGCTAATGGCCTGCTCTGGAGCCTGAGAGGGAACTGCCAGCATCCCTGGGGCTGACATGCCAGCTCCAAGTCTCAGGGTGACCTGAAGCACCCTGACCCTCTGGCCCTACTGCTACGGCCCATCAAGCTCCTTCTCCCCCGTCGCTTGGTTGGCTCAGGGCTGGGATTCCTCTCCCCTGCTGATGGCCACGTCCTCTCATCCTCCAGCTGATACAAGCTGCTGGTAATTTAGTTTGGAAGTTTCTTTTACTCATTTACTTGGAAGTAGCTATTGCGAACCTCCTTTGTGTGGTAGTCTGTGGTGCATGAGCCCCCCTGGGAGAGGGGGTGCCCAGGAGGGCCCTGCCCCAGGCGTGAGGGTTAGGGAAGAGCTACTGAAGGACAGACACTCAAGCTGGGTCTCGGAAGATGAAGAGGAGGAGGCAAGAGGAGCAGGGGCAGGGGTACCATCACCCCATGGGGTGGCCAGCAGAGCATGGGGCACTCTGCAAATGGCGGAGGGGAGACGGTGGAGGGTAGGGGCTTTGTGACAAACCTTTGCATGGAGCCCTTTTACTGCTTGTAGCCTAGACTTATGCCTCCCCCTATTCTCCACAGGAGAAGAGATGTCCTTTGAGGGATCCAGGCTCAGCATGAGAAACAGGAGGAACGGCATGCTGGACAGCACCCGTACCCTGTACTCCAGCGCGTCGCGGAGCACAGACGTGTCCTATAGTGAAAGTGTAAGTCGGAGTGGCGCCCAACCCGTGCCGCCATCATGTTAGAAGGCATGGCTTTGGCAATTAAGATTATTTGGGGATCAATACTCCTTTAAAAAGATCGTATCTCAACATATAGTATTTTCTCCTGTTGAGCTATTTTTGTCGAATGTATAAGCATTTCCTTGTCTGTGCCATTTTTCCAGCATTCCTATTTTAAAGGTTGTTAACGTAACCGTAATAAGTTATTAAATAGTGTATTTGTTATGAAATTCTAAGTGCTGCACTTTTAATATTCATTTACTATTTTAGGCTTGGTGTTCTTGCTTCCAGTCCTGTCGATTCACTTCAGAAATGATTCTTGAATCTAAGTGCTTTTCTTCAACTCTGTGGCCAGGGTCTCAGTTCGGGTCCACTTTTGTTCCTGCCATAGCTTCTGGCTCTTCTCTGGGGCATCCGTCTCTCTCATTCCAGGCTGGCATCCGTGTTGCCTTCAGGACGTATAGATGCACCCAGTTATCGCTTACTGGATGGGCGGGACTCAGCTGGGGGGGCTGCCTCTCCCACCCCTGTCCTTGCTGACACCTGAGTTGTTCTCATAGGTGTTCTGCTCACAGGTCATGGCGAGTACCCTCCTTTGTCCGGAAATGAAGACAACCTTGCAGTCTGACACCACGGTTCCCTCTTGACTAGTGTTAGACCGGATAGTGACTAGCTTTGGAAAAAAGAAAGAAGGAAGGATGAGGAGTGGGGGTGCTTCTGGGGTGCTGGGCATGTCAGGATTTTGATCTGATTGGTGGTTACGTGGGGGCTGACTTTGTGATCCATCAGAGAGTTGTAAAAAAACAAACAAGCAGACAAAAATTCTGTCCCTCACCTTGCGTATTTAAGGAGGATCCATCTCTTGGGGGCCGCCCCTGAACTGGCCCACCTGGACACGGAGCATCTCCTTAGATTTTGCACCTGGTCTGATGTTAGCCCTGTCCCTGTGAGAAATACACAGTGGGCAAAGGACAGTGGTGGCCTCTCATTGCTTCCCCCTCGTGCTGTCTTCCTTCATCCTCAAGCAATGAAGGACGGCTGGCTGGGCAGGAAAGCCCTTTCTAGATGGCACGTGGACCCAGGCCTTGATGTCTCTGGGAGATGGACAAAGGCCGGCTCGCTGTCTCACCAAGCTCCTGTGGGCTCCCACGGGTACCCTGGAGGGCCTTCCCACCCACTCAGAAATGTAGGCGGCCCTGTGGATAGAACTTCTGGGACCACCCAAGGGCAGCTCAGTTCTGGGGGGTCCTGTTTGTCCCTGAGAACACACACGTCTGCAAAACGCATTTTCCGAGGGAACTTTTAGCAACAAAGCAGTTTTTATCTCCACCCCTCGTTCACGATCACTGATTTCACAAGCTCACGCGTCTGTGGAGTTTTCTTCCTCTGTGTTAAGTAGACTTAAAATTAGTTAAGAGGAGAGAAAATATTACGAGGAAGAAAGGGCATTGCAGGTTTTCAAAATTTTTGCCTTAAGAGGAATGTAGAAATTATTTGTGCTTTTTACTTTTTTATTAGAAAACAATGCACAAATGTAAATTTTCAGCTTAAGGAAGAATAATAAAACAAACGCTCCAGTACCCACACCCAGCCTAAAGGAACAGACTATCACCAGGCCTTCAGAAGTCCTCCATGTACCCCCCAGATTGGGGTCCCTACCTTCTGTCAGAGGTGACCACTGTCCTGAATTCCGTGTCACTCATTCTTTGCTTTTATTTATAATTTTATCATTTGAATATCTATCCCTAAACAAGTTGTTTAGCTTTGCCTGTTTTTGATGTATGGCGTGATACAATGTCTCCCTCGTGAGTTTGATTTTGGGAAGCATCGTGCTTTGAGATTCGCCCACGTGGATGGGTGCAGCAGTTGCTGGTTCATTTCACTGCCGTGCAGCGCTCCATCGTGTGCAAATGTTTATCCAGTTGGAGGAGGGTGAACATTTGGGTTTCCTGCTTGGCTCCTGGGAGCAACGCCACTCTGAACATTCTCAGCCGTGCGAGCCGGGCTCCCTGGAAAACATTCTTTTGGTTGAGGCTTGGTGGCTAAAGGCGAACCCCTTTCCCTCATCCTAGGATGAGGTTTGCGTCTGGGTTTAAGCCATAGGATTTATGGGGAAACTCCTTCAAAGGGCTGGGAGAAGGGGACAGGCGGCCCTTGTTCTCTGATGTCTCAGGATGTATGCTGGGTGGCAAGAGGGGAGGCTGCTCCATGTGCTGTAGACTTTGCTCCAAGAGAGAGTCTGCCCCCCATCCCCTTTCTGCCATGCACGCCTGGTGACGGCCTTGCTGTAGGGGACGTGGAGTCAGGGGTGGCTTTGGTGCCGGTGGCCTGACTTGGGAGGCCACACTTGCGTGCAGTTCTCTGAGAACTGCAGCTGCCAACGCCCGGTGACCCGAGGGAAGTGGATTTGGGCTGCCAGCCCCTCCTCTCCGGGGCAAGACGGCCTCCTAAAGCTGACAACCCACTGCCAGGCACCTGAGCTTGCAGGCTGTTCACGGGACAACCCTAGCTCTCTCTCCACAAGGTCCATTTCTAGGGGCGCAACCTTACTGGCAATGGCAGACGATTTTTCAGAGCGGCTGTACCAATTTACTCACCTACCCACAGTGGGCATGAGGCCCCTTTCCTTTGGCCCCCCCCCCCCCATGTTTGGTGTCAATTGCCTTTTTAATTTTTCCAGCCCGGTGGGTGTGCAACGGAATGCCATTGTGGTTCCCCTTCACATTTGCCTCATTGCTGATGAGCTTGAGTTTTTCACACATTCATAGCTTAGTCGCGTGTCCTGTTTCATTCAATGCCTGCTCCTGTCTTTTACCATTTTTCCATCAGGTTGTCTGTCTTATTCTTAGTGATTTATAGTCCTTTATATATTCTATTTACCAATCCTATGATATTAATCCATGTTGCAAATATCTTCTCCCACTTTGAGGAGTGTAGGTATTTTGGAAGTATTTTTCATCTGTTTCCAAATTGTTTGCATCTTTCAACTAAAGGGAAGCTTTAGGTTTATAAAGGTTTTTGGTTGGTGGTCAGAATGAGGTCCTGGATATGCCTTCCACCTTGCCTAAGCAGCAGCAAATACAACCAAGGAAGGAATTTTTGGAATATATCTTCTTTGAAAAGCAAGCACAGGAAGAATGGGAATCTGCATTGAAACATTATTTATGCTCACCTGTCAACAAATGGTCATGTTCCTCCAGTAGCCTTAGAGATGGAAACACATAATTTGCATGTCTATGATGACATTTATTACAAGACAACTCCAAGTAACTTTCAGAAAAATTTGCATTCAGTGATAAAAATTTAAACGTACGCTGCTTTTTAAAAACCGTGTACTCTAAAATCATGAACAGATGCTGGATGCTATGGATATAAGGTAAATTCTTAAAACCTTTGAAACAGGCCTGGGTCATATTTACTATTCATTAATAACAGCAGTGAGTGAGCATCAATTAGTAATGTGCTGTCCAATGTTCTTTCTCCAAAGGACCTGGTGAACTTCATTCAAGCAAATTTTAAGAAACGAGAATGTGTCTTCTTTACCAAAGATTCCAAGGCCACGTAAGCATCTATTTTCCCTCCGTATTTGCTTCTGAAAATAAATAATTAAAAACCATTGCAACAAATAAACAAATATTTGCTAGTTCATTATTAAAGTTGTTTTCATCTTGCAATTCTCAGAAATGGTGTGTAGAAGAATTTTCTCAGAAGTGGTGTGTGAGCAGGAAGAATTTGGCAAGTAGCTTGCAGTTGATCCCTAGAGTGACATCATTTCGTTTTATATTTTTAACTTTGGAAATAGTTGGTAAAGGCTCCAAGAGAGGCTGTCGCTCCCTTCCATAGTCCCACGAGCCTGGGAGCCCACCTGAGTGGCCACAGCAATGCATGTGGTTGTTTAGAGCAGGTGGCAGGTGAAACCAATGGCGCCCATGGCAATCTGACCGGCTTCCCTGTCAGGCTGTCCTTCCCTTTTGTTGACTTTGAGGCTTGCCATCTAGTTGGGTTTTCCTCTGCTCTGAGTCTTAGTGTTTTGAAACATCAAGGCTGGTTACAAAAGCCATGGGGAGCAGCCCCCAGCGGCTCTGTACCCAGGAGCTCCTCAATAAATGTTCCTTAATGAGTGAGTGAGTGAATGGACTGACTGCTGGTCTCTCCCATAGAAGATGCACCAAGATCTAATGAAACAACGTTAGCCCACCGCCCTCTCATCTCGTTCCTCTCTGCCCCGTCTTTTGTCTCCTGGTGATAGAAGAAAGAGCCCAGCTATTAACTGACTGGATAGTTGCTGCTGTAGTTTGTAATCAAAGCATTGACCTTTTGTTGAATGGAGGCAGTGGACAGACGAAGGACGTAAGAATGAGCAAGAGCAGAAACTTTAGAATCAGCCCTGGGTCCAACCTTGGTCTGGCTGCCTGCCCACTGCTTGACCTTGAGCCAATTACTCTCTTTTCTGAACCCAATTTTCTCATGCTAAAACTCTAGCAAAGCATACCTCATGGGTTATGGGAAGGAGTCAATGAGGCAACACATAAAATACCCACCACAGTGCCTCAGAGCCTCAAAGGTTCTCAAAAAATGTGTTTTCTTACTTCATGTGAACTAGAAAATGAATTGAAAAAACTAAGAGATCTGTATTTTGTCATTGATATAAACTTATTCATCATGAGTCATTTTGACTCTATGAGTCAAACTCTATGAATCAGCTACTTATTTCCCCAATGTTTCACTGAAAGATTTTTCTGTTAATATATTTGTTTGACTGACAGAAAACACCATTTGGGTGCATTCATTTGTTTGACAAATATTTATTGGGTACTTACTATGTCACGGGGACTTTATATACTTTATTATGAATTCTACAACCCCCTTGCCAGGTAGCTGCTGTTATCATTTGACAGACCAGACATTTGAGGCCCAGGGGCCTTCAGTATTTTACCCAAGGTCATGTGGCCAGTGGGCGACAGATGAGAGGTTGGACCCAGGTTTTCCGATTCCTAGGTTTTATGTTCTTTGTATCCCCAGCTCCTGCCCATTCTAAGACGGTATTCATCAGCAATTTCTTACCTATAGATACCCAGTCTAATTGGCTTAGGTGAGAGAGGTGGTCCCATTACTGGCTGAAAAGGACAGCTAGATCCAGGGCTCAACGTCACCCAGACCCTGTCTTTTCTACCTGTCATTTCTGCTATTCTCTGAGTGGGTAGGCTCTTCACAAGTGGTTACCAAATGGTCACCGTATCTTTGACTTACATGTTATCAGCTTACCATTTTGCCAGTGGTGGGAAAGGGAGCCTTGTTCCTAGCAGTTCCACCAAAAGTCCTGGGCTGATGCTCATGGCTCTTATTGGCCTGGCTGGGGCCATGCGCCCGTCTCTGAGTTAATTCCTGGAGCTGCGGGATGGAAAGTGTTGACTGGCCAGGCTTGGGATATGTGTCCACATGGACCCAGTGTGGAAAGGGATGATTCCTCAAAGGGAAACTGAGGTGCTCCTACCAGCAGAATGGATGCAAGGTAGGGAACCTGGAGCTGTCCACCTTAGCTGCTTGATTCAGCTTGAGTCTGGCCAGAATGAAGGGAGATGTGGTGAGCAGCCCTGCGCTCAACAACACAAGCAGAGGACAGGAACACCTCAGAGTCTTCCAGTTCCCGTCCCAGATGGAGAGAAGGTTGAAGACCAGGGTTAAGACTCTATACTCTTTGAACTTCCCTGTATTTATTATTTTTACTTCTCCACAGGTAGTGGGAATACTTTGTATAATCTAAATTACCCATCATGCAAGGGAATCAGATGAAGTGACTATCAATATTCTGTCCCAATTTTGTTCTGCTTGCCACACTAGCTGACATACACTGTCCAAAGTCTCCAGAGTTGTCTCATATGTGCTAAGCCCAGACTACCCATGTCTCTCCACCCTAACCCCTTTCGGATGTCTATTTCTTGACTGGTCACCGGAGAGTGATGCTCGACCATTGCCCCTGCTGCAGATGCCCTCTGAGACATTGCCACCCAGCTCAGTGGCCCTCTCTTGGCACTCCTGAGGCTGTAAGCCCCTGATATGCCTTTGTTCTCTTCAGTTCTCACTGCCTCAGCCCTGCTGGGTTCCAGGTAGAAACTGGAAGAACTCTACTTCTGCTGTACTTGCTCTGTGCAACAGAACTTCCTCCATGATAGAAATATTCTATATCTGCACTGTCCAAAATGGTAGTCACTAGCCACATGTGCCTACTGAGCATTTGAAATGCAGTTAGTGCAAGCAAGGAATTGAATTCATTTAATTTTAATTTTGACTAATTTAAATATAAAATTGAATAGCCACACGTGGCTAGTGACTACCTAATTGACACTGTAGCTCTATAAGATTCAGATTTGGCCTGAGAGGTGGAACTGGGGACCTGCTGTTCTCCTGCCCTCTTCATCTCTCCTCTCTGTCACCTCTATCCCTCCTCCAGGTATCTGGGTTCCTAATGCCTTCTGTCTCTTCTCCATTTGTAAAGCAATTCATGCAAATTGATGCTTAGAGGGCTACCAGCCCAGCCTGCAGACCATGAAGATGGAGCCACAACAACTCTCTGGCAAGGTCGCCTGAGACACAGCCCTACCCTTAGAAGGAAAAAGGCTCAAGAGTCTATCTTCACTTGTAGCAGGACGAGTGGGCGAGGGAATTCTCTCCCCACCCTGCAATGAGCTTGGGTGGGTGTGGACAGACCCCAGAGGATAGTGGGGTGGTAAAAGCTAACGAGAGGGGAGAGGAAGCCATCTTGGACCCTAATGAGGAGGACTCTGAGACCATGGGCAGCACCCTCAGCTCAGGAAATGCCTGGGACTGAGTAAGAGAAATGACCCAGGAAACTGTGATCAATGATGGCTGACTGTTTTTCTTGGCCAAACTGAGTGATGCCCCTGGGAACTGTTCCAGAAAGGAGGCAAGAGTGCTGCTGGAGGTGTGATTTTGGATCCAGGCTCTAGCTCAGTTTTTATAGTTCTAGAAAATATTGAATGTTCTGATACATATTTTGAATACTGATAATTTCCATATTCTATAGTAATTAAGACTTTTGATTACAAGGAACTCAAGCTAGCTAAACCTGAAAGGGGGGATTTACTATAAGGAAACAGGAATGCCACACAGATCCTAAGAGAGAGAAGTGGCTGAGCATGTGGGATGAGTGGAACCATGGCCGGGACACGCGGGGACTCCAGAAGTCCTGTCTACTTTTATCTCCACCTCTCCCTGCACACCTGCTTTCTTCTTTCTCTGTGCAGATACAACTGTGCTGTATTGCCTGGATCCTCCATGTCCCAGGTCTAGACCTGGAGACATGGGAACAGCTCTTTTTGTCGTAACTCAAAATTCCCAAGAAAGGGATTCCTATGTCAATCCTGGACTAACTTCCTACCTCTGGGCTCATCAACTGTGGACAGTGCCACAGGTTCCGGTTATATGAACAGGCTTGTCTTGATCCAATTGTGTCGTTGAGGTTGAAGAGTGAGAACAGTCCCACCAGGGTCCATGTCAAATGTATCCTCTCCAGCAGGGACCCACACTGATGGATCACTGGCAGCCTCTCCCATAAGAGAGTGAGATGCTTTCAAAGATTCCCACTGGGATGCATTTGTGCCTCATTATAAAATCTCTTTGTTGAATGGCTTTGGCAGTTACCCTGGGCTTCCAGTACTCCAAAAAGATCTCTATCAGCAGAGTAAATCCAGGTCCATGTGACACAATTGAAGCCAGCTGCATCCAGGTAGCGGAATCTTGGCTGCCACTGGAATCCATCTGCTTCTGGTGCAGTCAAAACCTTGCCTACAAAGCATGTAGTTTCTGCTCCTATTATGTTTTTAGAAATAGTCACACAAATGCTTATCACTATTATCATCTTGTAAAATGGAAACGTGATCTACCACCACAGGGTGTTTTTAGAATTAATCCTACATCTTGCCATCTATCAAACAAGTTCAATAGTGAGGAGGAAGATCTTGAGAAGAGCCATGTTCATGGTCATGACAGCCATGCACACGTAAGCCCATCTTCTGGAAGGCAAAAATCCCTACTTTACAAAAATTACTCAGGCTGGATGAGGATACAAACTATTTGCAAGAAGACCAGTGAACGTATTCATTCACTATTTTGGGACCTGGGACACTGATAAGAGAGATGGAGGTACTGATCCTACTAGGGCAACAAGTATGAACTGGGAGTGTTGTGTGCAAATCAGGAAGTTTGGCCAGCCACTGGGGGTGGCCCTGTCTTGCTCCAGGGTCTTTGCTCTCTCAGAAAAAGGAGAGCTCTGCCCCTCTAGCCTCTTTCAGTGGCCAAACATGTCTCCCACTTGGCCACTCTCCAGCCTCCTTGGGACAGAACTCTCTGTTCTCCTTCTCCACTGGCCATGACCCCCTTCTGAATCTTGTCCAAAGACTGATTGGAGAGAGAACAGGGAGAGATGCAGAAGCACGTGGGTGGGACAGGCAGAAAGAAACCAGGAGGAGGGTGAGCAGTGTCTCCCTAGGGAGAGCTGCTTTGGCCACGCTAGGATCTTTGTTGTGGTTCTTGTTCATCCCTTTGGAGACCACAACCCTCAGAATCCAATATGGCCCTGGCGAGAGGGGCCAAAGTAGTCACGGAATGTGTTTTTTGATTTTTTTTTTTTACTGCATTTTTGCTTCTTTTCTGTTGCCACTGCCTTTGCTATTCCTTGCTTTGCACATATGGTGCCACCATAACCTCAAGGCACTTGCCAGGGCATGTCTCATGTCCCAGCGGGATGCTCTGCATCATTTCCAACCCTCTCAGCAAGCCCGACAGGAGAGGGACTGTGCAAGGATAAAGGAGGTGTTCTGTCTGCTCCTCTCTGCCCTCCGCCTGGTGTTGTACTTAGCTATGCCCGAGAGATCACAGGAAGCCCAAGGGCAGGAATCCCATTCAGTTAATCTCTGGATGCGAGGAGCTCGGCCAGGTCTGACTCCAGGTGGATTTTCAATCCACGTTTCTTGAAGGATTACAGTATGTTGGGGAGGAGAAGGGGAAGGGGTTTTACCTCTTACTGCCTATCTTTTCATCCTCTCCCAATTTCCTATCATGCATAGGTGTCCATGAACAAACAAATTTAGCTCTATTGCACTGTTAATGGGAAGAAATTGTGTTCATTTATTGCACAATTTGTCCTTGTCTAGAAGAAATTATTCAGTCTCCCGAACAGCTGATGTCCAGCAGTGAAAGGATGGTCTCTCTAAACTCTGGAACCTTTTGGGCTCCTGCCAGGGGACCACCTCTCTCCAGGGAGTAGAGCCCATGGCGAAGGCTTGCTTCATTTCAGAAGAGGGTGATGGGCCAGGCAAACCGGCAGGGCTGGCACCAAGGCCTGCCCCAGGGCTCCTGTGTGTTATAAACCACGCAGGAAGCTGCATAAATAGTCTCCAGATTTCTAAGACTCTATCCCACAAGAACCTCATGTCCACTTATGTAGAGGACAGACTCCATGAGGGCAGGGTCTGCTCTCCTTATATCTCAGTTCTCAACACAGAGCCAGCTTTTTGGTGAACAGACAATAGACAACAGGGGGACAACACCAAGATAATTTTTGAACAGTCAACTGAGATAATGCAAATGGTCTGAAAATAAGACCTGGTGGTCAAATCTCTTTTTGCGTTTATTTAAGCTGATAATGTGTGACATTCTAAAAACGTGACAAACTATTTAAGTAAGTTTAATGAAATCCGTTCCTTCCTGTGACTATCATTCTGCTCAGGGAAAACGTGTGCAAGTGTGGCTATGCCCAGAGCCAGCACATCGAAGGCACGCAGATCAACCAAAACGAGAAATGGAATTACAAGAAACACACCAAGGAATTTCCAACAGATGCCTTTGGAGATATTCAGTTTGACACTCTGGGGAGGAAAGGGAAAGTAAGCAATGGCTTTCTACTTGAGCTGGCTAATTCATTTACCAACACAACTTGGGCCACCTTGAATTGTCTAATAGCGTGAAGGTGGGAGAGATGGGCAGTCAATGCAAAAACTGTTGCAGAAAAAGATAAATCCTGTAAAAGTCAAAAGCTGTGATTAGATTATGTGCAACTGGAGAACTCCAGAGACGATGACTGGCTGATTGCCCAGCAGCCTTTTTCTGCGAACACTGCAGGCATTCATGTAGCATCCACGGTGACCCCCACTGCTACAAAAGGCCCAATGAACACTTCTGTGAATCACCCCCTTTAGTTTGGTGTATGGCATTCTTGAGAATACATATGGCCCGGAATAAGGTGACATTTCCCTCTGCACACCCACATGGCAGGCTCTTACACGAGGTTTGACAACAATGTTTAAGGATTGGAAAGTGCGTATTCTTAAACTCTCCCGTGTCCTCTGCTCAATGGCAGAAACATCCACAGACAGCTAGAAGCCTGGGCCTTGACTCTTCCTGTCCCCAAGCCCCATGGTTGCAGCCCTAGAAAGTGACCCAGCTCCGTCCACTGCTGTCTCTTCCCAGGGCCCCTGGCGCAGGATGGGTCACCGAATCGCTTGCCGCCCCACAGCTCTCCCTGCCTGTCTTTTTCCTCCATCTGTAGTCGACCCTACCGTTCGAGGGCTCCCTCAGGTGTAAACCTCAGCCCTCTCAGGTGCCCCACTGCCTGCAAGTCCCAAGTTCTCCCGATGGCTGGGAGGGCCCTTCAGTGGCAGCCACGTCCCCTAGTTTACTGCTTCCCTTGCTCTTCCCTGCCTGGGACCCTCTTTAGCTGCGGTCCCCTCCCCTCGCCCCTTCCCGCAGGGGCAGGTCAGCGGCTACACCCCGACCGCCAGGTGGACAGCGCCCACCCTGTCCTTTCCCTCTCCCCCACAGTACATCCGATTGTCCTGCGACACCGACGCGGAAACCCTCTACGAGCTGCTGACCCAGCACTGGCACCTGAAAACGCCCAACCTTGTCATTTCTGTGACCGGCGGCGCCAAAAACTTCGCCCTGAAGCCGCGCATGCGCAAGATCTTCAGCCGCCTGATCTACATCGCGCAGTCGAAAGGTGTGCGCGGTCCCTGCGGTCCGGGAAATTGCGGACGGTCCCTGAGGTTCTGGGAAATTGCGCCAGCCAGTTAGTCCATCCTGGCTGCGCAGCCTCTTCGGAGACGGAAATTCGCAATGCAATTCATGCGCAGGATCCAGATGCTCTAGAAAGATATGAGTAATCATGATCTTTTTAAAGGAGAGATCCTCAAATGATGGACAGGCAGGGAGCTCTGGCACATGGTGGGGGGTTTCGCAAATTAACTTTAAAATCAGCGTTAAGGTACTTCCTTGTGGGTGATTTTATGTTTCGGTTAATCTTCTAAGGTTTTCATTTTATTTCTGCATATAATATTTTACCCGGAATACTCTGGCGAAAAGGAGATTCCTTTCAAAAGGGAAAGTTTAATTCGTTTGCTCTTTAATTTTGAGATCAAGGATGCTATTTTGGAAATAGTGACAGTGCCTGTGAGGTGGTCAGCGCCACGAAAGTCTATGATAGAGATCAAAATAAATAACAGTGGCTCTGTTACTACAGATGTTCAGCTTAGCATTTCTTTTTCTTTTTAACTTTTTATTATGAAAAATTTCAAACCTGCAGAAGAGTAGTAAGAATAATACAGTGAACATCTGCACACCCTTCATTTGGATTCACCAGATCTTAACATTTTCCCACATTTGTCTGATCTCCTTCCATAAATATCCACATATTATGATTTTTTTTCAATCAATTGAGAGTAAATTGCGGGCATCATGGCCCTCTGCCCCCAAGTATGTCAGCATGCTTCTCCTAGGAACAGGATGTTCTCTCCTATAACTTCTCACAATTTTCAAACCCGAGAAAGTTAACGTGGACCAATACTGTTCCCTAACAAACTGTCCATATTTTAATTTTGCTATTATACCAACAATGTCCTTTAGAGCAAAAAACAAAAATTTTTTTCTCTATCTGGACTCCAATGCATTCAGCTTTTTTTTTTTTATCATAGCAGGCTAAAAAACGTTCATTCATCTCGAACTATTCTTTGTCTTTCTCGGCTGTTCAGGACATTTCTGAAGACTGCAGACAAACTGTTTTTGCAGACTGCCCCTCAATTTGAGTTTGACTCATGTTTCCTTATGAGTAGATTTCATTTACCCAAGCCTTACATTTTAAAAGCTTCTTTATTAGGAATATTAGTTGACTGACAGCACTAAGGAGCTAGGTGGCTTATTTTAGATATGAGTTTTTCCTTAATGTCAAGAAGAAACTGAGATCCCCCCCCCCATGTATTCCTCTCAATTTCCTGATGAACCAGAGAGGGCCACCGTAAGTAGTTACTTTGTCATGAAACTAACTCAGTTCCTTGCTAAATCCTGAACACACATCATTCATTCATTTAATGTTCTTATGAAATGCCTACTATGTGTCAGGAATTGTTTTAGGTGATGGGAATATAGCAGAACAAAACAGACAGAGGTTCCTGGCCTGGGACAGCTTCTTAGGTGAAGTGAGGGGCCAGAGAGGGGATGTTAATGGTCTCATTGTGCTCAGCATTGGCCCCTGGAGAGCTCCTTCACTTCCTGTTGTCTCATTTTAAAGTGGGGGGAGGTGTTGACTCTTGAAATCTGTCTGGAGGAAGGAGTTTGGGTGCTGATGGGTCTGGAATCACATCCTCTGAGAACTGGCTGAATTTCGGGTATGAAAATTCTAAGGACTGCATCACATTTGCCTTAAAATGTTGGAAGTAAAATATTGGACATACTTCTACGTGGGAGTTGACTAAGCTTGTTCCTCACTGCTGAAGACAGCAGTAAAATTAGAGAACGGAGACAAATAGTGGACAGAAGCCCTTTCTGACGGTTGGAGCAGAGGGCTCCCTCACTCAGGATTCCTGACACTTCCGTGACCAGAGCTAATGAAGGGAGGCTGGGACCGTCCCTCGGGCTGGATTCCTGCATGGGTAGCAGATTAGAGCAGAGTCATTTCCAACTTTATAGTCTATTATTATGCAAAATAATATTTTGTAGGTATTTTATTTACTTCAATTCGAAAACAAAAACAAAACAAAAATTCAAACCCCTTGACCTTGTGAAGATCATCACATCGAAACCTTAAGATAGCAGTATGCAAAATTGTGTGGTTCTAAAGTAGAGTTAAATTGTAGGCACCAAGGTCATGCCAGGAAGGTCACGGAGACCCACCCACGTGGGGGTCTGGGAGGTGGGGGTCGGAGCCTTGGGAGCGTGCTCCGCTTTCCATGGAGGCACTGCCTAACTTGCTCAAAGGCTCAGGCCAGGCATTTATTATCCATAAAAAGATTTACCTGAGAGGCTGCTTAAAGATGCAGATTCCCTGGCCCACCTGCCAGAGAGTCTGATGATGGAGATTTACCATGAGATCCAGAATCTGTATTTGTTCTAAACCAGCATCTCTTAGAAACACTGAGATCCTCTTCTCCTTCCCTTCCATACGGTCGTAGGCGAGGCCCATTCCAAAGTGGGGTGGCAGTGCTGCGTCCTGGTACTCCTGGGACGGGAGCTTCTTTAGGGGTCTGTGAGCACAGGAAGGGAACCCGAGCCAGCTGAGCGCGTGCTCCTCTCCTTCCTTGACAGGCGCTTGGATCCTCACTGGAGGCACCCACTATGGCCTGATGAAGTACATCGGGGAGGTGGTGAGAGACAACACCATCAGCAGGAGCTCGGAGGAGAACATCGTGGCCATTGGTATAGCGGCTTGGGGCATGGTCTCCAACAGGGACACCCTCATCAGGAATTGCGATGCTGAGGTACGAGTGGGTCCGGAGGAGGTCTGTGAGGTCACTCACGTGGGAGAAAGACCGCGGCATGGGGCTCTGTGACGCAGTCAGCTCCTAGGGAAGGCGGCCTTACAAGGAGCATCTTTGGAATCTCAGGGATTAAAAATAAGGATGACATAATCAAAGAACTCCTGGGAAGGAGTTACCCATGGATGTGTTTTGTTCATTAAGATTTGTTCCCAGCAAATTGTGGTAGAATCAGTTTCTTTATTCTTTATAACCATGAGCTGAATCTGTCCCCAGAGGGTTCCAGTCCTGGCTCCCATGCCTTTCTTGCTTGGCCACACTCACAGGAATTGAAATGAATGCTATGGCCCCTGGTTAATTTGGCATTAAGAGGGCTGTGAGATGCCCCTTCCCAAAATTTCCCGTGAGCATATTTAGAGAGTAATGAAATGCGAATTTCATGTTAGAAATACAAGGTAGACGTGGGCTTTTGTATCAAGTATGGAATTTTGAAAACAGCATTTCTAGTGAATTGAGGACCTCCTTAAACAAAAGGTGTTCTTTACTCAGAAGCTTTGGGCCAGATGCTCAGAAATCACAATTTACTTCACACTGTCTTCCATCCGGGACTCCTTAGAAGTTTACACAGTAAATGTTCGGGATTTGGGGAATCACCGTGGTTCTTTTTATTTTTAGAAATTATTTTACTTTTGTGTCTGTGACTATTGTTGAGGTTCCTGCGGGAAAGAGGAGAGTGGGGGCCATTTCCTGAGTGTCTCCCACGGTGGAGTGGGAGGAGGGTGGGCTTTGGGGGCCCGGAGGTCTGGGTGTGAGTGACCGATCTTTTGACAGCTGCATAGTCTGAGCGAGATCTCTTCTCTAAGTTTTTATAATCATGACCTTGTGTTGTTGTGGGATAAATTAATTATGCAGGTTGAATAGTAGTTTTTATTGTTATTACCAGACGCTCGGCCAGGGATGGCTAGATGGCCTCACATCAAATGCCACCTTCAGGGTGAGAGCGGCCTGGGGAGGAGTCTGAGGACAGTGGCCAGCTGGGTGGGAAAGAATGCTGTTATCTGTTAGCGATGTTTTGTTGTGTGCATAGGAGTCTACTCGGTGTTGTATAATCATCATCGCCCTGGTGGACACGTTACATATATTAATTCATAGAATCGCAAAAATGACCCTGTAAAGAAAGTATTTTTACCTGTGAATTGGAACAACAACAAAAGACTTCAATGTTTCCCTGGTGGGAGTTTATGGGACCCATTCTCTGTCAAGAAGTAAAATCTGAAATGAATCTATAAAGATTAAACAGAAAATGCCAATCACTTGGAAATTAAGAACCAAACAATCAAACAACCTTCTTATTAAATAGCTCTTGGGTCAAAAAAGAACTTTCAAGGGCTGGCCCGGTGGCACAGTGGTAAAGTTTGCATGTTCCACTTTGGTGACCCAGGATTCGCCGGTTCAGATCCCTGGTGCAGACCTATGCACTGCTTGTCAGCCATGCTGTGGCAGGCACCCCACATATAAACTAGAGGAAGATAGGCACAGATGTTAGCTCAGGGCCAGTCTTCCAAAAAAAAGAACTTTCAAAATTATACAGTCAGCCCTCCATATCTTCTGATTCTGCATCCATGGATTCAACCAATTGCAGGTGGTATACATGCTGGGTTTACTAGTTGGATCTTCGGATGCAGAGGGCCAACTAAGGGACTGAACATCCTCAGATTTTGGCATCCAAGAGGGGGTCTTGAAACTAATCCCCCGAGGATGCTGAGTGATGACTGTAATTGCAGGTCACTTAGAAAGCAATGAAAATGAAAACATTTCATATTAAGGCTAACAATGTATGGCCAAAGCTGCATCAAGAGTGAAATTCATAGTCGTTTACCTTTATTAGTGAAAATAATTCAATAATAATAATAACAATAATAACTAACATTTATTTAATAGTACTTACTGTGTATTGGATTCCATTCTAAGTGTTTTACATACAATAACTCATTTAATCTTCACAACAGTCCTATGAGTTAAGAACCACTATTACCTCTCATTATAGATGAGAAAACTGTGACACAGAGAAAGTAAGAAGCTTCCTTAACTCACATGGCTGGTAAGTGGCAGAGCCATGGTTCATAGTCCTTTAACCACAGCAGTATTCAAATTAATAGGTTTGAAAAGTAACAACACCAACAAAACTTAAGAAGGGCAGGAGGAGAAAAATAATAGTCAATCAGCAATAAATTAATTAGAAAAGAAAAAAGAGAAAGAATAGAAATATTCTTTTTTCTCTGAAATAGTTCTAACAATTTAATTTAAGGAATAAATAGAACCAAGAAATCAAATATAATAATAAATGTTGAGAAAAATTATGTGGATGCTGCATACAACTGTGTGTCAATAAATTTGAAGATCTCGTGGGAATTTATATTTTTCTGTGAAACTATAACTTTTAAAAAACTGATTTGAAAAGAACTAGAAAATCTGACTAGATGAATTATCAATGAATGAGCTTAAAGGAAGATAAAAAATTATCTCCAAAATTACTCTTGGCCAGATGGCTTCACCTAGTCACAATTTAAAAAAAGTCTATTAATAGCTAATTTCAAAAATATTTATAGTCTCCAGCACATACAGAAGCATGAGATCTTTATAAATTGCTGGAGAATGAACAAATTTGTGTCCTTTCTGGAAAAATCTTTGGAGATATGTATCAAGAGCATGAAAGCTTCATAATATATATCCAATAATCATAAATACATCACTAGGGAATTTAATATTTGGACAAATATATCGTTAAAATATTTCTTATAGTAGCAAGAATTGACATGAATGTAAATATCTAGTTATGTTAATAATAGGAGAATCTTCAGGTAGATTACACAGAACTTGAGGGAAAATTGTTGAACCTTTAAAATACTATTTCCAAAGGTTTTCCTAGTGTGGAAAATATTTACAATTTTAAATAGAAAATTATGAAAACTATGTAAATCAATCCACGCCTGGAAAAGAAATAAATGCACTAAAATCTTGATGGGGACTATCACTGAGTTGTGGAATTTAGTGTGATTTTAATTTTCCTTTTACTTTTCTGCATTTTCCATGTTTTCTACTATAAGCATAGATTATTTTTAGATACTCAAATTACAGTGCTAATTGTTATCCTTTTATGTTTCTGTTAACGATAGAGTAGTTTTGCAGGAAACCCATGACCTTGTGGCTGACTTCCTTGTTTCTTTTCTGCCTTCCACGAACAACGGCTTTTGATCTTTTGCATAAGTTGAACCTCATAATTGTTCATAATGACTTCGTCAGACATCTCTTTCTACTCATGGCCTCATTACAAACCCCACCACGGGGCTCTACTAGGATCCAGATTCAGCTGGCTGAAACAATACTGCATTTCACAAGCACTAAAGTTTTACATAATTTTGAGGATCTTTTCTAGGGTTTTTTTCTCATCTTCCATCAGCTGTTTTTTCTTGACTCAGCACTACACTTTAAAAATTATTGTCATGTTAAAAAGGATAGCTCAGGGGCTGGCCCTGTGGCCTAGTGGTCAAGTTTGGTGTGCTCCACTTTGGTGGCCCAGATCTGGTTCCCGGGCATGGACCTACACCACTTGTCAGTGGCCGTGTTGTAGCAGCGACCCACATACAGAGTAGAGGAAGACTGACAACAGATGTTAATGCTCAGGGTCAATCTTCCCTGGCAAAAAAAAAAAAAAAAAAAAGAAAGAAAGAAAAAAGATAGCTCAAGTCTCTACTCATTATTCTTGTTATTTAAACTTTAAAATCCCTTTGTAAAGATACAACCCAACACAACAAACACAAAAGACAAAACAACATAATAAAATTTCACACTCACTAAGTGGAATCATATTAAACCTGTAAGTTGCTGCAGGAAAAAATGTGATTGTTATGCTATCAGGTCCTTGTCCAGTGACAATTTATGCAAGTCTGTGTCTTTCAGGAAAGTTTATAGTTTTCCTCTTTGGGTCCCACCTATTTCTTCTTAACGCTATTTCTAGAGATTTTTAATTTTTTTATTTTTGTGAATGGGGTCTTTATTCAATGTAGTTTTTGAAGTGATTTTTGGTGGTGTGTATAAAAATAGTGATTTGTTGTTTTGAATCAACATTTTATGAACTCTTGTCTTTGTTCTAATAGTTTTTCAGTAGATTGGCTGTTCTCTGTTTGCAAACGTATTATTGGTATATATTGTTACTTTTTAGAACAACTCTTCCATTTAGTTATATCTTGCATTTTTTGCTCATTTTGTTGCCTTGGCTAAAATGTGCGGAGTAATGTTAGATAATAGTCATGATAACAGGTATCCTGACAGGTGGTTAGCAGGTGAGTGTAGTGTTTCACCAGTAAATAGGATTTGTCTAAAAGTTCAATTTACATATATTTTTAAAAAGTATCCTAGGGAATCATCCTTTCATTTCTAGTGTATAATTTTTTAAAGTGGGAATGAATGTTGAGTATTAAATATCTTTTTGCCTCTATTGGGTTATTTTTCTCCTTTAAACCATAATCTAACGGACTGACTCCTGGAAACAACACTAATTGCTCCTGAATAATCCTGCTGAGTTTAATTAGCGAACGGTGTTTTAGGAATTTTGTATCCTTGTTCATTAGAGAGCTTGGCCTTTGGCTTTTCCTTTTGTGATTCTTTCCTCATTAAGCTTTTGGAATCAGTGTTGTGTTCTGGAAGGATATAAGTGAAATGGGAATTAGTTGTCCCAGAAAAGTTTGTAGTGCTCCTCCGTGAAATGCTTGGATGCCTGCCTTGCAAATATTATCTCATCTGTCCAGGGCTCTCCTGACGGGAGCTCCTGATGGGGCAAGGGCCACTGGAGAATAGAACTGTAACATATGAATTCTGCTTTTCATTCTGCCTTTCTTCTGATTGTATATATGTCGTTCATAGAGTCAATAACCTTCCTCTTCTCACTGACTTTTCACCTTAACTTGTACTCTTGCAGTTTGGGTTGAAACACCTTTTAATGCAACCCTGATACTTTAGAAACTAAACACCTTTGAATGGGACGTGATGGTCAGGAACTCCTTTCTTCATATTCCTGCATCAGTTTTTTATTCTTTGCTGTTAAGTGTTGTGACAAAGTATCTGTTTAATTGCTTCTTTTTGTGGTCCTGTAACTATGCTCTTTGCAAGGGTGAAGATTCCATTTTATTCATTTTTTAATCCCTAGACTCTGGCACAGGTCTTGGCATATGATAGATGCCAGACAAATATGTATGTGATTATGTCAATGTCTACCTCTACCTGTGTCCAGATAGACACGCTCAAATATATGTGTGTGTGTGTATATGTGTATATATACATATAGAAAGAGTATGTGTGTGTATATTGTATATACTTACATATATGTGTGTGTATATACATATAAATATCTGTGTGTCTGGATATATATGTGTGTGTGTGTGTGTGTGTTCATATACATACACACTTTCCTGAATGCTGTCAGTTTCGATGAATTTATACATAAGAGCTCAGGTCAACGGAACAAGAACTGGATTGGGGATCTGATCCTCACACTGTCACTGGCCATTTATGTGACAATAGGCAAGTGACCTACCCATTTTCAACCTTTGTTTCTTCATATTTAGAACGAAAGCCTGCATTGTAAGATCTCTAAGACCCTTTTGAACCTAGGAATCTGGGAGGAGGCATCAGTATAGTTGAACCCGAAAGGCTAGCCTCCATATGAACATATAAAATATCATCATGCATCTTGTCCAGCTTATAAAATCTCAAAGGCAAGTTCCTTTGTGCATTTCAGGAGTATTTTTCAGCTCAGTACATTATGGATGACTTCAAGAGAGACCCGCTCTACATCCTGGACAACAATCATACGCACTTGCTGCTGGTCGACAACGGCTGCCACGGACACCCCACAGTGGAAGCGAAGCTCCGGGATCAGCTGGAGAAGTACATCTCCGAGCGCACTATTCAAGGTCGGTGTTTAGAAAGTGGGAGGTCAGCCACACGCCATAACCAGAGCAGCAGCACTCCCAACAGTAGCTCCCAATTACTGAGTGCAGCACGATGAACCTACCCAATTAGGTCTTGTTCCCAAAGAAGAGCCATTATTTCTCTTCTTTCTTTGACATCCTAGGAGTACTTCTGCCTGGGTCACTGTGATAGGTACCCTTCAACGTGCTGGAGCAATGACAAATGCTGTCTTGTCCCACTCTGGTTGGTCAGCATAGAAAGCCTGCTGTCTCTTCTTCTGCGAGACAACACTTAAGAACAAATACCATCCACCATGGCAAATATGAGCTCACAAAGCAATGCAATTAACTAGGGTAGAAATGATAAAAACCAACCCACTAGTTGAACAGTTGATGGTTTAGTTCTTTGAATTTTGGCTACTTCTATATAACAGAACCACCTAAAACACTGGTTTCAAGGGGAGAATGCAACAATTGAGTGAAAGCCTTTATTTGCAATGGAAAGTGACGCTCTCTGTCTTCCTGTGGTTGAGATGTGTCCTGTTCTGGAACCAATTCTCTCATGATGTAGTGATAGACTCCATGACAGAGACTCGCTGGAGATGTTCTCAACCCTTTTCCTCTCTCAACGGGACGTACGCAAAGAAAGACGTTTATATATGCAATACTCTCCCTTGAGAGAACACAGTTATGCAAATTTCTCACCCACTTAAGAAAGCATAGGATTATGCAAATGAGTGAGAGTATAATTATTATAAGGATAAACTTGAACCTGGTCTAATAAATATTAGCAAAAGTAAAAGACTTTAGCATTTTAAGTAGCATTAACAAATTGCGATGTGATACATGTCATGCCATTACTGGCTGGGACACAGAGATGTATCCATCATGACCAGTGGGAAGATAGTCAAGTCTGATCTGTAGCCATCACCCCACACCCTGGACTCACAGGACAGAAGCTCCTGGCCCACCTCCTTCTTGAGGTAGGCAAATATTTCTAATAAACCCAAAATAAGTTTTATGCATTATGTTTTACAGATTCCAACTATGGTGGCAAGATCCCCATTGTGTGTTTTGCCCAAGGAGGTGGAAAAGAGACTTTGAAAGTGAGTTTTGGCTTGGTTTTCTAGAAGATCGGTCAATAAGCTTACTTAACAAATGTATATTTGCAGGACTTTGGGGCTCGCCTAATCCAACCTGACTAACTTATTTTACTGCAGCAAGATGGGAGCATTTTTCCCACCCTAGAATGTTCCTCTGACAGGCTTAGATTATTTCCTCAGCCGACAAGATTTAGGAAGAGACTTTGAAGCAAGGTGAATAGCCTGTATATTTAGTGCTGGCTTTGGCCAACAGCCTGCCAAGGAGAAGGGTTGACATTAACTCATGAGACTTAAGGATTGTAACCAGCATGTACATTGGAAAACCATGGCCACCCCATCTGCATGGAGATGAGCTGTGACCATACACACACAGATTGCCCCCAAATCGGTGTTCCCAGACCAACTAAAGTCCATCCACATGCTTCCTCGGCCTGCAAGACTCCACCCACATGAAGAAATCCCAAACCCTAAGTGATTCTGAGATCATGGGAAGCCTCTCGAATGATTCTGCACCTGCAACATTGAGCAACTGAGGAAGAATTCTGCTTCCCATCCTATCCATGTAGACTCTGCTATTACTGAGTTCATCTTGCCTGCAGCCAGACTTCTGTTTGACTTTTAAAAAAGCATCAGTGCAACTGCATTTTAGTCAGTATTTGAAAGCATGAGCATCATTTTCAAGATGTCATTTTTCTAGGAATAGGACATTACAAGAAAGTAATTTTTGTGTGTGTGCTGAGGAAGATTCACCCTGAGCTAACATCTGTTCCAGTCTTCCTTCACTTTATATGTGGGTTGCCACCACAGCATGACTGATGAGTGGTGTAGGTCTGCGCCGGGGATCCAAACCCGTGAACCCTGGCCACCAAAGCAGTGTGCCAAACTTAACCACTATGCCACAGGGCTGGCCCCATGAAAGTAATTTTTAACTCCTCCTTTTAATTAATTTCCATGTTGAGTTGTCCTCCCCCCATATTCCCTGTCCTGTTTTAACTCTAAGACAAGGCTTAGAGCATAGCTATTGAAGATTCTTGATCTTCTCCTCTCTCTTTACCAGGAAATACCCCTGGAGTTACAAGTAATTCCTGCCAAAGTTATTTAGAATTATAATCTAGTACCTCCCTTTGTTTATTATTTTATGTAACAATGATCTTTCCATGTATTCATACATTCATCAACAGGTATTTATGGAGCACCTGCTATGAAATTGGCCTCTGAGACCATCACTAAATGAAAGTCTTTCAGGGAAAGACTTTTCAGGGAAAAATTAAAATAGAGATGTTTTTCGATGTGAAATTGTCAGTGTGTGAATGCTTAAAGCAGTAGCCACATAAAAGAGGAAGAGCGATGGAGAGAACATGATGGAAAGATGCGTACATTGATACATACAAAGATGCATACTCTCTCTCTAATCTCAGATTTAGAATTTAGATTTCCAGAGACCTGCAGAAGGCCTAGGGCGCTGTGTTTCTACAGCATTTTCCACAAATGTCTGTTCAGGCAATCCACAACCCACAGAACAGGGGATAGGAGAGAGGAGGGAAAGGCGCAGAAACTAGCAGCTGAGCATCTCTTCACCTCTTGATCCCTTCATCTTCCAGCTCCCTCTCTTATCATCCCCACCCCCGCCGCAGCACAGCCCTGACATCCACCTTTAGTGCAGTAAGTGAGGTACAGATGGAATCCCAGCCTGATGGATGTGTCAACCCTCTGCCTGCTCTGATGAGGGGACCACGCACTTTACGTCTTCTCTAAGGAAGACATTCACTCTTGGCTAAAGGAAGGGGCTTCACAGTTTCTTCTGTCCCTGTGTGTGGATCACTTTGCTGTCAAGTGAAGACAATTCTTGAAACTTGATGCCCCTGTGCTGGCCTCTGTGGTTTTCATAAAGGAAATAAAAATGTAGATGTTTATCCAGGAAGCAAATATATTTTTATTCTCTTTTCATCAAAGGGGTGAGAGAAATTATTTGACGAGAAAATATATGAGTCAACATAATACAAAATATGTGGCTGTTGCTTTGAAGGTATTTTCATATCTTAAAAGTATGAATATTGCTAACCTCTCTCAGATAAGCCATCAATGATAACACTGAATACCATCTTAAGAGTTTTCACTCCAACCTCTCATGTCAGTATGTGGAGTGGTTGATTTTGTCTATAGGGATGTTTTTAAGCAGTTATTGATGGAAAACTTAAGCTAGTCACACTTGTCCTTATTATGGAATTTGGTTTCAGCACAGGATGTAATACAACTGGCTTACATTTCTCATTCATGAAGCAATTGCAAACTTTTGGTTTGCTTCTGATTGAAAATAAAAGTCCAAAGGGAAAAAGGCAGGGATGTGTCCATATGTTTGATTCACCAAATTGATTTGGAACTTGGTCCCGAGCTGGGTTCTGTGGATGCTCAGGGTCCCTTCCAACTGGCCCACCCTCTCTCCCCTCTCCCAGGCCATCAACACCTCCATCAAAAGTAAAATTCCCTGTGTGGTGGTGGAAGGCTCGGGGCAGATTGCCGACGTGATCGCGAGCCTGCTGGAGGTGGAGGACGCCCTCACATCTTCCATCGTCAAGGAGAAGCTGGTGCGCTTCTTACCCCGCACCGTGTCCCGGCTGCCGGAGGAGGAAACCGAGAGCTGGATCAAATGGGTGAGTTGCAGGGGGGCCAAGGTCCTGGGAAGGGAGAAAGCCTGAAATGCCCGGCGCCACAGCAGCTGAGGGTGTTTTATACATTCTCTGTGACTTTGAGACTCTCCTCTGGCCCAAACCACTTTCTTGCTGAAAATTGAAGCTCACAGAAGGAGGCAGGTCTTGATACCTCATAAAGGGGTGGCACACGAGGTTTACACTCAAGTCTGTCTGTCTGTGAAGCTGGTACTCCGTTTACACCATGATGTCCACCAACGTTGAGCTTCTGTGCTTTGTATGTATGAGTGGTGGAAAGAAGGAGGAAAGAAACCCCTGATAACAATGTTTAAGAAACGCAGATTCTAAATTGGGTCTACATCCATAGGAGAAGTTGTTCCTACAGAATAATTGCCTTTCTAAATTAACTGGCCTGTGACTCAATTCAGAATCTCTCGCCTTGCTCTTTAGATCATGTAAGAAATGTGCACTTACTGGAATATCATTATGCTTCTTATTTTAACATCATGCTATGCCTTCTCATCTTTCTCTCTGTTTCATGATTGCCATTGACTTGAAATGACTTTCATTTTCTTGACTGCTCAGTTCGTTAGAAGCTCATGTTAATATCAGCAGGTGCATCCACATCAGCTCATTCAAAAATGACCTTTATATTTGGATCATGTGAGGAGCATGTGCTGCCATTTGGAAATTTTCCCATAAAGGAAATAGCAGGCTGTAGTCAGTCAGAGTTATTTTAGTCATAGAGCCCATTTTACCATGAGAGTTGAAGGTTGGGTTTAGTATAAATAATAAAAAAAAATTCTTTCGCTAGATGGGCATTTCAATGATACTTAGTTGTGGAAGAACCCCAAAATACCAAATACAGCAAACTGAAATCCTGGAATAGCAAAGATCATCTTTTTTTTTTTTCTCCTTTATTTTTATTACACAAGTAATGCATGTTCATTGTGGAGAAAATATGAAATAAAGATAAACAAAAAGGAAAAACAAAATCAACAGAATTCCCTCCATAGAGATAGTTTCTTGACACTTTGGATTCATTTCTAACCCTTTGGTATTTTTTCCGTCCCCCAAAACAGGTCATTTGCGTGTCTAATCACATACATGTAAACACGTATTTCACATGCACATACATTTACACCCATGTTTTGTTAACCAAATGGAATCATGTGATACATTCTGTTTTTAGCCATTTTTGAACTCACCGTTTCTCACAAGTGTAGAGCGTTCCGTGGGGTGGCTGTGCCATGGCTGATCTAACCACATCCTGCTCTGTGACCCTGGAGCTGATTCTAGGCTCTCACTCAGGCCTAGCTGGCTGGGCCTCCGGGCCCACCCTGCTCCCCGCTGGTCTGAGGGTAACTTAGGCTCCTGACCATCCTCCAGTGGCTTCCCCAAAGGGGCCTGGTAGGGCCCTCAGGGCACCGGCACCCATTCCCTGCCGAGCACCAACACGGGGATCCTGGGGTTCAGTCCTCGACAGTCTGACAGGCCAAACGGGCATCTCTGTATGTGGGAAGGCCGTCCCTGTGATGGAGATCATCTTCTTGCTCATGGTAGCCCTTGCCATTATTTAAGGCCAGCCTGGACAACCAAATTCTTGTAAATAGTGAGAGAAATCAACCCAGTCTTCCAGGCCGCCAGGTACTCTGTAGTGAATTAACAGACTATGGGACCCTATTGGTCTTATTTAATTTCAGATAAGGGGGCAGTTAGGTGATAATCCTGATGACATGCAGAGGGATCGAAGTGATTAGGAAGCAAGTCCTTGCTAGGTTAAGCCTCCTTGTCTAAGATTCAGAATTTAAAAATGCAGATGCATCTTCTTCCCAGGGCTGAGGGTCAATGTTGGTGCTGAATGATGTCCTGCACAACAAATGCTTACATGATATTCCTACTCGAGAAGTTACATTTTGCAGATTTTACTAAAAAAGGTAAACCTGGTAGTTTTGTATGCAAGTTTGTCCTGGGATTTCTTGTATATTGGCCATGTCCAGTTGAGAGACAGACATAAGAATCGGGGAAATAGAGATCAAATATCAGCTTCATTGATGATGGAGGTAAAGTTGAAAGATGTGGCTTCGGGGGGCATCCACAATGGGCCTCCTTCTGCTGAGCCCCAGAATGGGACAGATGAGCCCACCCAAACAGAGGCAGCCCCAGGCAACTGCTGGGCTTCCCACCAGGCTAGGCATGTGGCTGATGGCAGACCATGGCACTAGCATTCTGCAAAGAGCAGATCCCAACGGAGAAGCAGGAAAGGGCTGGCTGGGCACGGCCAAAGTCACCAGTCTGATGTGTCACCCCCCTACCTTGAGTAGCGGTAAGTGAAAGGGGTGGAGATGCTCCAGGGGCCTAATTGGCATGGAGATCCCTCTGCCTGGAGACGTGTGGGTGAGGAGAAGGAGTTTTCCCTCCCCAAAGTGGTTATGCATTTTCTGTTCTCTGCATTTTTAGACCTAACAGTCTGAGTCAATTCCAGACATGTGGATGGCACAGTCCCAAAGTGTAAATATCGGTGTAAGTCATTGTGTGTTGAGCTCTGTGCTCAAGGTAATTTCCTGTGATGGATGGAAATTCAGTGATTAGTTCAAGGATACGCATAGAGGAAGATATAGTCAGCTCTCAAGTTACCCACCAAAGATGGCCCTGGGTCCGTTCTAGGACTTTCCTCTTACTCCTCGTACATGTTGGCTTGTAGAGTTGGAACAGGCCACATCCAAAAGGCCGTTCCACCTAATGGATCCTCACACCCTTTGTGAAGAATTTTGATTTCTGCTTCAAGAAATGCATTACAGAAAACTCATCTGGAGCAGGCTAAAATCAGACACATTTCGCTTTCTGTGAATATATTATCCTTTCTGGGATTCGTGTCTAATTCATATTCATATCTAATATGTTAATGATATATCATAATTATAATCATATCAATCAGAAGATGTACATCATTAGTAAAAATTAGTCTGGCATTTTAATGATGTGCTCCTATGAGGTTTTGCAGTTGGTACAGATTTCCCAAAAGACCAAGCTTGAGAGTAGAACTATTAATTAATGAATGTATACATTCAGTCAAATATTAATTGAGCAAAGTCCCAGCATAATTGTGGATGACCTCACTGATCATGTGGACAACCAGCCCAGAAACCTGGACTCATACTTTGTCGACCTTTTCAAGAGATCCCAGGGGCCAGCCCCATGGCCAAGTAGTTAAGTTTGTGTACTCCGCTTTGGCATCCCAGGGTTTGCTGGTTCAGATCCTGGGCATGGACCTAACACCACTCATCCGGCCATGCTCAGTGGTGTCCCACATAGAAGAACTAGGATTTACAACTAAGATATACAACTATGTACTGGGACTTTGGGGAGAAAAAAAGTAGGAAGATTGGCAACAGATGTTAGCTCAGGGCCAATCTTCCTCACCAAAAAAAAAAAAAAAAGAGAGAGAAGAAAAATAGCATACATTACAAAGAGACTTTGTATACTTCTTCCTGGGGTCATGCCCTTCTCTTCTACCAGTTCTCTCAGAGTTGTTCCCCCATATCTACTCCTTGCCTTCTCAAAAAATTGACCCTTCATAATCTCCCATCTATCAGCCAACCTCGATATCATTCATTCATTCATTTCAAACTCTTTCATCTACTCATTTATTCAGTTGACATTTATTAAATGAGCACATACTCTAAGCCAGGTTCTGGAATAGGCACTTCAGAAAGAATAGCATACACAACAGAAAGAGTCTGTCTTCATAGAGAAAACAGAAACTGAAGAAAAGTTCATATTGAGTGACTACAATAGAAAGCATGGTATAATTTCAAGCTGAAATGGGTGTTGTGAAGAGAGGTAACATGAATTCAGAATGGCTTGAGCCAAGGGAGCCTGGCCTGGTATCAAAGTCCTTTCAGGGGAATGCTTCTCAGAGGAAGTGATGTGGGAGCTGTGATGTGAAGGATGAGTAGAGTTAAAGGGGTGAGGGTTGGAATTGAAATCATGGAAGCAGCATGTGCAAAGGTCCTGAGGTCCAAGGTAAGCATGGCCTACCTGAAAAGCTGAAAGATGGCAATGAGGATAGATATTGTGGGTGGAAGCTGGAGAGCTTACAAAGGGCCATGTCAGGGAGCTCCTTGAACCTCATTTTAAGGTTCTGGTTTTGTTCAAGTGTAATGAGAAGTCACTGAAAGGTTTGAAGCAGGGCGAGAATGTGATCAGGGTTGTGTTTGGGAAAGCTCACACCGGCTGCAGTTGGGGGACAGGATTGGAGGAGGCAAAAGTACACGAGTGGAGAAGCAGAGACCAGGTAGGAACCCCTGCAGCCGTCTCTGGGTCCCATCGGTTTGCTCTGGATCCATATTCACTTTCTCCTTTTCCGTTTTCATTTCAAAGGAAAGGATGTTTCAGCCCCTCTGTGCTCCCACCACGTCTTGTGTCCCAGAGCAGTGGAACCTGGACCCCTCCCTGCCTGTCGTTTCTACTCAGACCCCTCTCCTTCTGCCAGCACGGGGAGAGGGCCTTTGCCCTCATGCACCGCCTCCCACTCTCCATTGAACCTGCTATGGAGTGTATTTTCCTGAAGATTTTATTTGTTTCCTCCTCACCTCGGACGCCTTTAAACCAAGGCCTCCAGCACCACCTTCCCCAGGACACTGCAGCCTTAAAGGTCACCTCCTAAAGTCCAAACCCAAGGACACTTCTTGGTCCACATCTTTCATCCTCCCAACCTGACCTGAGACTTCCCTCTGCCGCCGGGCCCAGACACCCTGGGGGTCCAGGTCCCTGTTTCCAAATGTTGCCAGGAAAACCCACCACCACCTGGAAGGCAGTCTAACCAAAACCAGACTCGCTTCCTCCTCCAGAAGATGCACTTCCTCACCAGGCCTCCACCAAGATCACCAACGCCCAAAACCATGGAATCTGGGGCTCTGTCCATCCCCAGCTCGTTAATTTCTTTTTTTCTGGTGAGGAAGATTGGCCCTGAGCTAACATCAATTGTCAATCTTCCTCTTTCTGCCTGAGGAAGATTGTCCCCGAGCTAACATCTGTGCCAGTCTTCCTCCACTTTGTATGTGGGACACCACCACAGCATGGTTTGATGAGCTGTGCCTGAGATTTGAACCTGTGAACCCCGTGCCACCAAAGCAGAGCACACGAACTTAACCACTGCTCCACTGGGCCAGCACTCCCCAGCTCTTTAATTTCACAAAATATTTAAAGTTAAACATTACAGAAAATCACCAAGGATAATATAGCAAATTCCTTATCTCTCTATCTAATCACCAAGTCCTCTTGGCTCTTGTTCACAGCGAACTTCTTAGGTTTAAGCTCTTGTGATCACACTTGAATGATTTCTGTGGTTTTCTGGTGCCCTTTCCTCGTTTATTCATTCATTCATTCAACAATTGAATTCGTTACACACACACACACACACACTCGCCCTTAGTCAATGAGTCTCTCAGGTTTTGGACAGTGGCCTTGTATAACCAGTACTTTATTCTCATTATGGTAAAGGACTTGTTATTCCAGTTTAGAAAGGCATCGTAGGTGAGAGAAGATCTGGAACACCCCTGTCGGTGGTCTTTATAAAAAAAGTGGAATAAAAGATTCCTCACCAAAAGAGAGGAGTTTAGGCTCCTCATGCCTAAAATCAGTTGGCTGACAGCTCTGCTCTTTACATCTTGCCAGCTCAAAGAAATTCTCGAAAGTTCTCACCTATTAACAGTTATTAAAATGGAGGAAGCTGGGGATGAAATTGTGAGCAACGCTATTTCCTACGCTTTGTACAAAGGTGAGTAAAAATGGCTCATTTAGACGTTTCAGCATTGTGTGGCTTTCCATGACTAGCATTTATTTTTTTTTAACAGCTTTATTGAAATGTAATCTTGCACTTAATTTTGATTATCATAGATTGGAAGCTAGAATAACCACTATTGACCTGCTGAGTTAAATCTCCTTAGTTGAATGAATTTAATAGAACAAGAATTTGTATGTCGTTAAAATACTGGTCAAATACAATCATGGCAGTCGCCAAAGAGCTGTCTTTAACTGAAATTTAAAATCTTTATCTGAGCCTCAGACTCCATTGAGAATGTAATAAAAGCTATGGAGCTTTGTCCTAAGGTTCCATGTATATGCACACACAGGCACGCACACACACTTCACACACATAAATAATTTTACATTCAATTTCAGGGGTTTACGAATCTCTTGAAGCTTGTGAATGAACCTCAGTTTTCAAATTCTCATCTGTGGTCTTTGCTGTCTTAGAACTCCATCAAGGTGGATATTACCTGAAGGAAATAGATCCTCGGCAAATACCACCTAGAGCTGGGCCTCCTGATTAAAATACATAAGATGTGCAGAGTAGGGCGAGGGAACCAGGACGTGCGATTTAAGCATCAGCTGTTTATTAGAATCATTCTTATTGTGCTGGCCAGAAATTTGGTCATAAGGATATTTATTAAAATGGCATTATATCTATAGAGATACATAGATACAGAAAATATCAGCTCTGGAAAAGACAAGTAGAACATTTTATAATGTGGCTCATTATTTCACAGATTTAGATATAGTGTAAGTCAGATGTGGTCCTTGAAATGTAACACTTATGGAATCTGAATCTATGCAAAAATATCAATATACCGTAGTTATACTGTTAGGATATGAAATGGAAAGATATTATTTTTGCCTGGATTGATCCTCATTATATGCTTTGGGACACAGAATATGGATAAGAATGAGTGAAAATACAGTGAGATGACGGTTCTCAGTGTTTGTAAGAGAGATGCTTAGACTCTCCTTTGATAATTGGCCATATGAAATTGTTCTGACTCTCTTATTTCTGGGCCTTTGGTGAGGTGATTTTTTTCCTGTCCTCTGACAGCCTTTAGCACCAATGAACAGGATAAGGATAACTGGAACGGGCAGCTGAAGCTTCTGCTGGAATGGAACCAGCTGGACCTAGCCAATGATGAGATTTTCACCAACGACCGCCGATGGGAGGTAAATAAGAAGCCCTCCTGGGTTATCACAGTGTCGCATCTGGTCCATTTCTGACAAAGTCTTCAATACTGAATCTTGCAAAGGATTATTCTGTTCTGGTGTATCAGTGTTGCTGAGCCTCATTTGCCTCATCTGTAGTATGGGATAATAACATTGACGTAGTAGGTTTGTTGTGAAGAGATAATACAAATAAATGCACCTCTGTGAGAAAACATCAACCCACCAACACCATCCAAAGTTTATAGCTCTTCAACCATGATATGAGAGGGGACCCTTTGTCTGGGTGTAGAGGTGTAGATATCTTCTGGGGAGCAGATGGGCAGAAGTAAATAAGGAAAATATGTGCAGAATGATCGAAAGGAGTTTACCAGAAGTAGCTCAACTAAAAATCAAGACAGTGGTCCTCATTTTGCACCCTGCCCCACTTGCCTAACCTCGTTCTGATAAGAAAATCGTCAGCGGTGAGATGCATAAGGGAACAATAGAATCAGTAGATTGAAAACATGCAATGAATGCCTTAGAGCTAGAAAATTGGGACTCCCCCAGTATGGAAGTTGTATGTCTAAGGCCAATTGTATAATCAAAGATGAAAACTTGATTTATATTAACATATGGTCAATTTTAATAATAGAATGCAAATAAGGTAATGGCTTATGGATTTTTAAATTATTCATTCCTTTAGCAAACATTATCTTGCGTTTGGTCTTTGCGGTGTAATGAACCTCATCACACATTACAAGCCTTTATTTAGTTGAGAGAACATAGAATTCTGAGCGGATCTAGTTAATTGATTCATAAATGAATCTCCATGTGTAAAATGTCCTATTTAAGTAAGGTCAGATCGTGCAAATAAACATAAACTCAGGCACGTATTGAATGGTACATTTAATTTTGTTAAGTTACCTGAAGATAGTTAAGGGTGAAGGCCTCATGGTTAAGAGAATAAACTCTGGAGCCAGCTCATCAGCATGACTTAACCTCTGCAAGTGACTTAACCTCTTTGTGCCTCAATTTCCCCATAGTGTGGAGAGTTGCAGCCAGCTCCTACTGGTCTTAGCAAGAGGTGACTGCTAAATGTTTAGGGGTTTTGTGAGTCTGTTGTTAAATACAGTTATTATTAAAAATTAGATAAACTTAAAACTAAATAAATTTTATTAAAAACAAAAGTGATAAATAATTAAGACTCATCACTTTCTGATTATTTTACTACATTTACTGTGGTCTATGCTCTGGAGGTTATTTATGTCTATTGTACCTGCGTGCTGGAAATTCTATATGGTGGTGTGCTGCTCCATGTCCATTTCCAATTCTCCATTCAATGATGTCACTTGGTAGCTGAAAACCGGCCATGGTGGGAGCATGTACACCATGCCCTTGTTGTTATGTGCTGTCCAGTCAGCTCCGACCCCTGGTGACCCTCTGAGTGAGTGATGTCCACAGTGTCCTGTCCTCAGCAGCCCTACTCAGCTCCTGTAGACTCATGCCTATGACTTTCTTGTAGAGTCACTCATCTCATATCTGGCCTTCCTCTTTTCCCGCTGCCTTCTACTTTGCCCAGCATTATGGTCATTTCCAGAGAATCCTGCCTTCTCATGATGTGCCCAATAGGACAGCCTCAGTTTTATCATTTTTGCTTCCAGCAATAGTTCAGGCTTAACTTGCTGTAGGACGTGCTTGTTCATCTTTCCGGCCTCCCAGGCTATCCGTTGAGCTCTCCTCCAACGCCAGATGCCAGATGAATCCATTTCTCTCCTCTCAGCCCTCTTCACTGTCCAGCTTTTGCACCCATAGAGGGTAATCGGGAATATGAGAGTGTGGATAACCTTGCCTTCCTCTTTAACGACACTTCCTTACACTTGATGATCTTTCCTAATTCTTTCATTGCTGCCCTTCCAGGTGACAAGCAGCAGAACCTAGCTCATCAGATTGTTATGATGATCGAATCAGATAAGGTTTCTAAGTGCTTAGAACATTGGCACATATTAAGTGCTATATAAGTCTTTGTTTAAAAATAAATAAGAATCTTTGGAATAATAGTAATATTTGTGTAACCTTTTATGATGCACAGAGCGGTTTCATTGTGTTAGTTTACTTGGCCCTCACACCAGCCCGTAACAGGGACGATCTCATTTTGCTGGTTAATAAGCCAGGGCTCCATGGGTACCACAGGACGCGGAGTGACTGATGGTTTTTTGAGGGTCTGCTCTGAACTTGAATCTCTGAAGGCATCTTGACCTGTATTTTGTCTCATCTCATCCCCACCAGCACCTCTGTATAGAAGAGCCAACAGGCTCAGAGACAAGTCTTCTTCCAGGTCACTCATCCGGGTGATGGTAGAACCAAGGTTTGGAAGCGAAGATGTGTCTGGCTGCAAAGCCTTCCTCTTTCTCATCTGCCAGTGTGGTCCCTGGACCAGTGCCACGTGGGCATAACCTGGGAGCGTGTCAGCAGTGCAGATGATCACACTCTACCTCAGACTCGCTGAAGCAGCAGCTCTGAGGTTGACTCCAGCAGCCTGTGTTTTAGTAAGCTCTCCAGGTGACTGTGACGGAAGTTTGAGAACCGCCGCCTTATGTATCAAATGTATGAGCAAGGGCAAGGCCAGCGGATTTAGAAGGAAATGTGAAATGCCAGGCACAAGGAACATTTGCTGTGAGGACGGGGGAGAAAGTGCAGCTGCTGCTCTCCCCAGGGCAGCCACCTCTTCCCCTCCCTATGCTACCTGGAGGCACAGTGTGGGGCCTCGAGGCACTCTTGACAGTTCCCTCTCCAGGCAATGTGTGATCCCCGTGAGACCAACATTATACAGAAACATAAACCGATAATGCTGCCCTTGGCGGGAGTATTCCCCTGAACCAGGGGGCAGGCAAGTAAGACACTGGGTTGGACAGCAATGAGAAGTGCTGGGGACCTTGGGGACAGGAGAGACCAGGCTCTTAGGAGCAGCTGCCACTTGGCTCCAGCTGATGGTTCCCTGTGTTGTCAGTGCTTCTGATTTTCACTCGTGAATCTGGATTTTAATGCTGAAAATGTGGATTTTTGTGAACCTTCTAATTTTTAATGTTGGCAACTGAATCACATTGTAAGAAATATTGTGGAGGACAAACAGGACATATCTGAGAGCTGGTGTGGCCTGTAGACCTGGTGTATGCCCAGAGTAAACATTAATTATCTTTACTAAGATTTTCAATAAGCTTCCATGGGGTAAGTTTTATCAGGAGCCTAGAAACTAGAGATAAAGATAAATAATAACTTGGTGTAGTTGTCAAGGGTTCCGATGACTTATTGTTATGTGACGTGACGAGGCGTTCACTTGGTGGCATGTGGAGGGCAGCAGGATGATTCCATGGCACAGAGTGAAGAGTTGGCCGGTGGTTGGCACACCATCAGTGTCTCCTGTAGACTCCAGAGAAGTGATGGGCACTATACTGCTAGCCCCCTGTGCCCTAACTGAGTGCTTCTTCTTGACCAACATCATGCCTACATCCCTACGTTGTAATTATCCACGCTTTACAGTAACAAGAGCCAAGTAACTTCCAAGCCCACATCTAGCTGATTTCAAAGATTCCACCATGCTACTTCGCCTGTCTAGATATTGGAACTATAATCCAGTATTGTGTACAATTAAAAAGATAAATTTTATTCCCAAAGCAGAATTGGAAGAGTGGTTGAAGATGCTATTACTTTGTGGCTGGAAATTCAATGTGACTGGGAAAGAAAACACCTTGTGTTTCCTTTATTGGACTTAGGGTGTGAGTTCTCTCTCTGGTCTTTCTCTGTAGTCTGCTGACCTTCAAGAAGTCATGTTTACGGCTCTCATAAAGGACAGACCCAAGTTCGTCCGCCTCTTTCTGGAGAATGGCTTGAACCTACGGACGTTTCTCACCAACGACGTCCTCACCGAGCTCTTCTCCAATCACTTCAGCACCCTTGTGTATCGGAACCTGCAGATTGCCAAGAATTCCTATAACGACGCCCTCCTCACATTCGTCTGGAAACTGGTGGCTAACTTCCGAAGAGGCTTCCGGAAGGAAGACAGAAATAGCAGGGACGAGATAGACATAGAACTTCACGTATGTACTGGGGCAGTTGTCTTCTTAAATTCTCTGTTTTTTTGAGTCTTCCTTTAAAAAATTTCTTTACCTCCATCTTTCCCACTCCCTACCTCATTGCCATAAAGTAGTAATGTGTTGGCATTGTTAATTTTTTCTACTGCCTTTGCTTAAGATAATGAGTCTACCTGGTGAGTTCTCTGATGTCTTGCTTTCAGCTTTGTGCTATATTTCAAACTAGTTGTTGCAGTTTTTCTAATTATGAAGCTCAGTGTGGTGCACACACTTTCTGAAGGCATCTGACAGGGAACAGGGACAATGGAATGGCTGCATGCTCTTGTCTTAGCCTTATGGACATGATCTGCTTAAAATAGTCCTCTGCTGCCCGTGTAGAGGACTGAAGAACTGCCAAGTGTTCTTTTGTGAATTAAAGGGCGGAGAATATTTCCAGTGGAATAATCCAGATTTCCCTCTGAGAAGATGTTGTGGAGGCACCACCTCTACTCTCTCAAACTTTCCTCTTCTAAGTACAGGCAGGCTCAGTTTCCAACTGCCAGCACCTGCGACTCTTTGCTGAAGGGTTGCTCTGGTCTGAGACCAATTTCTGCCAGATGTTGGTGTATAAATACCCCAGCTCCCTCCCTGCTTGGAGGAGATAATCCTGAGCTTGTGTTCTCCACTGGCTCCTAGGATTGCCTAAGGGATTAATCTCTAGTTACCTACCAAGACGACTTGCTGGTAATGCACCCTTTATGGGTTCTTACTTTTCTGATCTTGTTTCCTAACTCTTTTATTGGTTTTCCTGAGATCACCCTTCAAATAAACTACTTGTCTCAATGCTTGATTGCTTCTGGGGAAACTCAAACTAGGTCATTATCTTTTATAGTTCTAGGATTTTAATGTGTGCATGTGTGCGTTGCAAACATCTAAATGATTTTTTAGATATTTGAAGTAATTGGAAGTGTTTAGAAAGCTTCTGTTTGACATTATTCATGTTAAGACCCTCCACAGTATCCATATCTGTGCCTGAAGCAGTTTGGATTTGGATAAAACCTCTAAGGAAGTTTAAAAAGAATATATACATTTAGTTGTTTTCTATCTGAAAAGGTTTCATTGGAATATCTGGAATGCTGAATAGGAGCTGGGACCCCAATTGATATATTAGGAATCAAAACTTTGAATAATGCTGCAAAGAAATAAGCATAGTTTTACGTTGTGATAACTGAACTTAAACCATAGGAAAGTTAGAATTCAGTCTGAATGATTTTTATAGGTGAGAAAAAGATTCATGTGATGAGAAGGAATTGCTTTCTCTTCGGCCTGCCAGATGTCATTCAGTTTTTAAATAGCTGTCAGCACACTTTTTCGCCCTTTATACCTTCCATCTAGTTGTGCATTGTCTTTTATGATAGAAAAAAGGTTTTGTGTCAAATTATACCACCTGGTGAGTTGCAGAGATGAAAATCACATCACTGTGCTGTTAAAATGGATTCATACACCGAGTTACAGAGCCCTCCGAGTGTGGGGTGTTCTCCTGGGGCATCCTGACCCCCATCTCCAGCCTCAGAGCGGTGCATCTACTACTGTGATGTTCCATTTGCACATGCTGACCTCATGCTTTAACCCCTCCCAGGACGTGTCTCCTATTACTCGGCACCCCCTGCAAGCGCTCTTCATCTGGGCCATTCTTCAGAACAAGAAGGAACTCTCCAAAGTCATTTGGGAACAGGTAAAGGTCCAACCCACGCCAAATGCATACTTTGTTGTGGTTGTTCTGACCTTCCCAAAACTCACATGCCTAATTGAAAATATCACTGATAAAATGGGATGTCTAATGTCAGGTGAATATGGTTGTGTGTGTTTCCATGGCAATGGAGGTGTGTGTGGAAGGGGAGGTCCCTGGAAGGCAGCTTTGCTGGGTGGGCAATCCAGTAGACACCTGCTTCTCAGCTGTGTGCACCTGTGTGATAGTTTTCCAAGAGATTTTTAAGTTTAATTTAAAAAATTAAGTTGTAGCTTTATTACATTATGGACAGGAAGTAGGGCCTGTACAGACTCTTCTTTGGGAAGCTCCCTGAGACTTTTCTTTGTGGTTTAGCACAGAATGGTCTTTGTAAATGATTTATGGACAGTTGTGAAGAAGGTACATTCTCCATTTTTAGAGCATAAAATTGGGTATTGAATATTGAGTTCATACACACAGTCTCACTACCTACCATTGTAGGTCTTCCACATCCTTACCACTTTTTCCTTCTTTGAACTATTATTACAGTACCACAGTGGGTAGTTGGGCCTCCCACAGTCATACTCCTCCTACCAGTTTCCTCCTGCATTTATCTGGATGTTTTCTTTTTATATGCTAATTTCATGTTCAAGACTGTGAGTATATTCAGGTTCAGGTGTATCTTGGGCACATCACGAATTTTACTTTGAATTGTTATGAGCAGTTCAGATTTTACCATTTCCTGCTTTTGCCGTGAGTTCACCCTCACCTGACATTAATGTTGACTCGATCACTTCAAAAGATCATGAATTAACCTGAACGTTCTCCACTCCTCCAAAAGACCAGAGGCTGTACTCTGGCGGCCCTGGGAGCCAGCAAGCTTCTGAAGACTCTGGCCAAGGTGAAGAATGACATCAATGCTGCTGGGGAGTCTGAGGAGCTGGCAAATGAGTACGAGACCCGCGCAGTGGGTAAGCCTCCAGGAGAAGGATGCCACACGCATGTGCCCATGGCACTCACAGGCCTGATGGTGGTCAGTGGCATGGCCAAGCTCCCACCTGCAGATCACATGGTCGTGAGTGCACACATTGTGGCAAAAGCCAGATGCCCCTTGCTCCTGGCACTTACTGACTTTTCCAAGAAAGTGGGAAAATGTGGGCTGTCATCCCACAACCGCCCAGGGCCAACCCAGGCCAGGTCTAAGTAACTTGATGCCACAGGGAGCTTTCGGGTGTTTTGTTTTGGGGATGCTGTTAAGAAATTGTGACACATCTGAGGTTTTACTTGACTTGCAAGCTAATGAGTTAGCCTGCCAGTTTCACGTGCATCTACTGACAGAAGACCCCAGACCCCTGGGTCAGGCACGCAGATGGTTTATTACTGATGAGTTTTTATTGACGTCTGCTGCCATGAGGAGCTGTGAAGGGTATGGTGTGCCTAAAGAAAAGGCCTTGTTCAGGGAAGAAGTACCTTGTGCTGGCATCCTCTATGCCTCTTATAAACCAGGATGCTCACACCCAGGCTTTTCCTGAAGTCAGGGCTTGGTTGGGAGGGGTGGGGGCAAGACAGTTCGTGTGTCTGCCAGCCCTGCCTCCAGCTTCCCTCTCTCTGGTGATCGTGACACTGTAGAGCTGTTCACGGAGTGTTACAGCAACGACGAGGACCTGGCCGAACAGCTGCTGGTCTACTCCTGTGAAGCATGGGGTGGAAGCAACTGTCTGGAGCTGGCGGTGGAGGCAACAGACCAGCATTTCATTGCTCAGCCCGGGGTCCAGGTAAGCAACGTACAGGCACCCAACCTCACGTCCAGAAATGGGCCTTTGACATCAGATGCCATTAGCAGCATTAAAAAAATACGATATTAAAAACAGACCTTCAAAAAAACAAACCAACCTTCTCCTCCAACATAAAAGCCGTAGCAGGAGAAGTTGGGCGATGTTACGGGAGATGGCAGCATCTAGACATCTGTAGAGATCCTTGCCTCAGGAGATGGTGCACGAGAGAGAATATTCTTTGAGTTTCCACAAAGTGAACAGTATGGTACCATAATTATGAGCTCGGTGTCTGGATCCCACCGCTCGGTCTCTGGGTCTCCATCCACTGTATCTCTGACTAGGTGTGTGCTGATGGGCTGGTTTCACAAGCACTCTGAGCCTTAATTTTCTCATCTGTAAAATGGGCATACTAGGAGTTGAAGGAGGGGTTGCTGTGGGGATTCAATGAGATACTGCATCGAAGGTGCCAGCCCTTGTTGTTAGCTGTGACTTTTACAGCTATTTTTAGTGGAAATGGCGGTAGAGAAACTAGTATGAAGTGGGTAAAGCCAGTGTAGAGGTTTCCTGCATGGAATCAAATTAATAGTGATTTGCACCTGGTGCCTCAGGTTTTGGAGGGGAGATTTTCCACCCAGAATCCCAGTGGGAGGGGTCTGGGTAGGAGGAGGTAGGTAGGGAAAAGATGGACGGACTCAAACTTGTCTGCCACACCCATTGCACATTTTATCACGTTTCATCGTCACAACACGGGCGGAGGTGGATGTCATCCCATTTTACTGATGAGGACTCAGGAGCTCAGAGAGGTTCTGGAACCTTCCCCAAGTTGCTACTAAGAAGTAGCAGTGCTGGGCTTTGATCCCATGGTGATTGTCCATCTCATGGACTTTCCATTATACAAGGCAGCTAATCATTAGCTCAGTGTTTATGAAAAAATCTGTTTGCTACTGCAGCTACGATGGGTTAAATGAGTGTGGTCATCTATGATGAGGAACACGCAGTGAAGGAGTCTTGTTATTGCTCCATTTTAGCCCCTGCACCACTGTGGGCTAGAGCGAGGCCAGCCTCGTCTTTGGGGTTTCCTGGGAGACGGGGTGGGGTGTCCGGGCAGCCACTTTCTGCTCACAGCTTCTTAGACCCCAAACCCCATCTTATTGGTGTCCCAGAGCTTTGGGCCCTGGAAAGACTGACTCATTGCTCCCCTCCAAGTTCACCAGTCCCAAGAGTTTCAACCAAGTGCCAGTTCATTGATGTTCACGGACAATCTCCCTGCCAGGCTCACGGGACCAGCGAGTTTGCTTCCTGTAGGCAGACTGCCATGTGGGGTCAGATGTTGCTGGTGGCTGTGGAACCCAAGCTAGGGAAGAGCTTTCTTGGACAGAGGGGCCTATGGGGGAGGGCCTACTGTGCTCCTCACCCCGGCAGGAATGTGACAGTGAGGAACACTGGACATTACCTGTCTTTGATTGGCGCCCCCCAGAGCAGACTCCAGAGCAAGGATTTGAATGCAAGTAGTTTGCTCTGGAGGCGAGCCCAGGAAGCACAGGAGGGGAGAGGGGGCAGGGAGACCGGGAAGGGAAGGAAGCAGATGCAGGCGTGCTAAGGAGCAGTTGTCACTGTGCACAACTATGACTCAACACTGCTAGGGACTTCGGAGGACTGCATGGGACCTGCCCCAGGGTTGCCCATCCAAACACAAAGAAGCTGGCATTTACCCACCAACTACAGTCTGCCATTTGTTGGGGGTTGTCCCTCATGGGCCAAGCACGTTCCCAGCTGCCACAGCTCAGGCAGAGTGTGGCAGGGCTTGAAGGAGAAGCTGTCTTCTCTTAGAAAGAAGTGCCCAGATGTGGGTGGCCCGTGCTGGTGCTAGCCCCATGGGCCAGCGCTCGAAGGGCCCAGGCTTCCCCTTGCTCTGCCACGAGACACACCAGCCTCCTTCCGACATGTTCTTTTTTGAGAGCTGTGTGTTTCTTTGATGTGGTCTAGTCTATGCTCACCCTTTTTTGTTGACTGAAAATACAACCTCAGCTGTCTAACTCCCACCTTCGTGGGAGGCCCTCGCCCCACCTGTCAGGGGTCGGTATCGCCTGGGGCAAAGCTTTTTCATGCATTTCAGCTCAAATCGATGTTGAGACACCAGTGGTCTCTCCCTTCCCACCTGTCTGCCTCCAGAAATGAGTCCTTGGGGACTGCAGGTAGCACTGGACGTGTGTGTGAATTCGCGATCGTTAAGGAGAAAGGAGCTAGGAAGACACTTGTTTAAATTTACATAGTAAGAATTAGAGTTGGTTAAAATTTATAGGTTTAGTGAATTTGGACTCACATCAGCTGTTGTAAAGTTCCCAGAAGCCAGCTTAGGAAGGACTGCAAATCCAGCAGAATTTTAAATTGTTTTACCAGAGCCCTTAGAATCCAGGCATCTAACAGAAAAGAATAAGGACTTTAATGCAGGGAGGGGTTCATTCAGGGGAAGTTCAAGGGCTGGGAAGAAAGGGTGCAGACCATCCCACATTTCATGGCATTAATAAGGACCCGTGTGCTTTGTCTTTGTTTTTGCTGTAGAATTTTCTTTCCAAGCAATGGTATGGAGAGATTTCCCGAGACACCAAGAACTGGAAGATTATCCTGTGTCTGTTTATTATTCCCTTGGTCGCCTGTGGCTTTATCTCATTTAGGTATGAAACGGAGGCACATAATCGTGTGTGTGAGTGTGCGTGTGTGTACATGCATCCACGTGTGTGTGTGTGTGTGTGTGCCCTTGTGTCCAGCATTGTGAGGTATTTGCTCTAGTGCCTACAAATTAGGTCTGGCATCTCCCCTGACTTTCCCCTGGTTTGATTTCAAACAAGTAGAGGGAGGGCCATGTCTTCAATCTCCAAGGCAGAATTTGAATTTGTTCATCATGAAATGCCAAGGGCTGAATTTGGGCCGGGCCAACCTTAGAACAAAATTTTGACGCGACCCTCCTCCCCCACGGCAGTTGTGGTCTATACTCATCCATGTTCAGAAGGAGAATTATAGTCTACCTAGTGATGTTTCCAAGGATGGTGACGATGCTCTCACCTCTAGGTCCAGGAAGAAGCCCATTGACAAGCATAAGAAGCTTCTGTGGTACTTCGTGGCGTTCTTCACCTCCCCTTTTGTGGTCTTCTCGTGGAACGTGGTCTTCTATATCGCCTTCCTTCTGCTCTTTGCCTACGTGCTGCTCATGGATTTTCACTCCGTGCCCCACCCCCCCGAGCTGGTCCTCTACGCTCTGGTCTTCGTCCTGTTCTGTGATGAAGTGAGACAGGTAGGACAGCTCCCACGTAGGGCCCCTCCTCCTTTCCTCAGTGGGCAGCGTCTTCCTAATGCCAAGGAGGAGCAGAAGTTGCTTCTGAAGTCCCAAAGTCATTCTTTTCTCAAAATCAACGTTCTTGTTAGGTGGTCGCCCATGCAGATGCATTTGCAGCATCTCAGCACTCCAGTGAGCTCTCTTAGCACCAGGCACACTCTTTGTTCTCTAATTAACGTTAATTGATGGAGATGAATTACTCATGACCGGGAATGTGTTCAAAAAGCAGATTGACGTTGGACTGTAAACCCACTCCCATCGTCAGGAGCCATTTGTGTTCCTGCCACTACCGTCACTGGGGGAGGCAGCATGAGAGTGACAGGGGACTTGGGAAGACTTTCGAGCTAAGAGCATCTTAATACCCAGTGTATCAGAGTGATGGTGTTTGAAAGTCATTGAAGTCCCTGTGCATTTCAGGGAGTTTGTGTGAATTATTCATGCTGCTTTTCAGTAGTTTCTTGGGATCCACGTGTTTTGGCATCCACTCTCTACCATTGAATCCAAAACTTTAGCCCACCCTGGCACATAGCTGGTGCTCAGTTAGTGATGATTGAATAAATAAATACGGATGGTGCTGTCCTTAAACCATTAGGAAAGGTCACACGAGAAAATCCTTTTAGACTTCATAGTTTACAAATTTTTTGAGAACTGCTGTTGCTGTCACTTCTGTTGCCCCTTCTGAGCCCAAACCCAACACCATATCCATTCAACAAGGACGGCCTAAGTGCTCACAGTGTATGAGATACTATGACAAGCACAGCAAGAGATTTGGAGGGGCAAAGAATGCTGTTCTTGACCCCACACAGTGGCTGCCTAGGATGGGAATCCTAAATTGGTTTCAACCATCATGCCAACTCTGATAGAATTTTTTTGTGGCTTCCAGGAGTCCTGAGTTGAGAAAGATTCTGAGGCTCTGTTTGTTCTCAGCAGGAGGGTGTCGTAATCAATTAGTGATGTCTGCCATGGGCACCAGAGGTGGGAGGGCCCTGGGTCTGCCTCATAGGTGGGAGGTACAGATGTGGGTGGAGAGGGGGTGGAGATGGAGGAAGAGTAACATATATGACACAAGTCAGTGTTGAGCACGGCAAGGTCGTGGGCTTTGTCTCCCAATAGCTCTCCCAAAGACAGAGTTGTGCTGGTGTGCAGAGGATGTCAACGACTTCAGATCAGCCCCTGGGAGCCCCATGCACTAGCTCATGCTGTCACAGCTCAGTCCAGGCCATGCCTTCTGTATTAGTCTGCTAGGGCCTCTGTGACAAAGGACCACCGGTAGCGGGGCTTAAAGAACAGAAGTTCATTGTCTCATCGTTCTGGAGGCCTGAAGTCCAAGATCAAGTTGTCGGCAGGGTTGGTTCCTTCTGAGAGCCATGAGGGGAATCTCTTCCAGGCCTCTCTCCTGGTATCTGGAGATTTGCTGGCCATCTTTGCCGTTCCTTGGTTTGTAGGTGCATCACTTGATCCCTGTCCTCATTCCCACGTGGCTTTATTCTTGTGTGCATGTCTGTGTCCAAATTTTCCAGTGCCTTAAGGACACCAGTCATATCGAGTCAGGGGCTCACTCTACTCCAGTGTGACCTCATTTTAACTAATTACATCTGCAAGGACCCTATTTCCAAACAAGGTCACATTCTGAGGTCCTGGGGGCTAAGACTTCAGTGGATGAAATTGTGGAGGGACCATAATTCAGCCCACAGTGGCTTCCATATAGTCTTTCTCTTGGTTGTCATCTTTCACTTGCTAATTATCTTTTTGACTCACTGTGAGTCAGCAGCAAAGGGTGATAGTATCCTGTTTGAGGGGAGTAGAGAAAGATGGACAGAGAGCCAGCACTTAAAACAGGAGTGGGCCCAGGCCAATGTGAGAGAGTTAACCAAGGACCTCCTGAGTTCCGTCTTCCTAGGAGCTGGCTCTGCACGGGGTCACGCATGTTCCCTTCTCTGCAAATGGTGTGGTCGGTTCTGGGACCCTGGCCTCTTCGCTTTCCTTCACTCCTGGGCATGGTTGACCACTTCTCCAAGCCACATCAAAGAGGAAGAGACAGCGTTCCCAGTTTAGCTTTGGCAGAGGAAGGGTCTAAAAGGGCCAGGTTGGAGGGCTTTGTGGCACCGGAAGAGGAAGGCCTGAATCTCACGCCGTCTGAGAGGCCGGCAGCCCTCTCGTCGTCTGTGGTCAGGGAAGTCCCTTTCGGCCACCAGTGTCCTCCTGATAGTGGGCTTTGTGCCCAAGGATCTTGACCGGTCTATGGGAGTCGGTGGACGTTGAGGGCAGCCCTCCCACTCCTGGCAGAGGCAGCGGGGCCACTGGAAGGTCACAGAGGACTCTGAGCGGCCCCTGGTGGTTTGAGTCACACACATGAACCCGAAGTCTGTGGGCTTTAGTGGGTATGACGGGGGAGCGGTGTAGGGGTCAGAAAAAGTGTGCGGGTTGTGTGAACTTGACAACACGCGTCCTGGCTCTGGTTTCTTCACCTCAGTTGACCAGCCTGACATCTTAAATGAAGTCACTGAATAGAATCAAGTAGCAGTGAGTTCACAGCCCAGTGGGGAAATAAGTCATTAGCATAAATAAGCAGAGAGACAGAGAAAAGGAGGGAGGAGGGAAAACAGCAGGAATTGCAAGTAAACGGTGGTAATTTACTTAACTTCTCTAATCTTCTGGTTCCTTGCCCTTAAATGGGCAGTTTTTCTACTGTAAGAGGTTATTAAGAGGAGCGAGAGGCTGGGATGCCTGACACGTGGGCCTCGTACAGCTCATCCAGCATCACCTCCCCAGGGAATTCCTTCTGCTTCTCCAGCTCCTGACACTTCTCTGTTGTTGCCCAGAATTGGGCGGCACGGAAATAACCTGATCCACATGTTTGTTTCTTATCCATCTTTGGTCCCTGGGGGCAAGCTCAGGAGCTGGTGTCTATGTGTTTCTTGGAAGTGTGTGCATGTTTTTTAACAAATGAATTGACAAGGGGGGTCTTCGTGATTCACCCCAGAGCTGGGCTATGACTGACAGTGAGTGGGGGGTCAAGATAGTGGCTCATGAGGCCAGAGCTGGGCAGATGAGGAGTACGTGGCACGAAGGGGCCCAGGGATAGCCTTCTGAGCAGAGGCTGCTTTGGTGGCTCCTTCTTGGAATGGCTGGTAGAAAGTAAAACATCCTTTCTCTGCTTCCTTCCACCCTTCACTCATGCTCCAAACCATTTCTCTGTCAGTGTCGTTCCTGACCCTGCCTAGGCCTTAATGCCTTGCATTCAGACACAGAAGCTGCCGTTCCAGGCCAAGCATTATTTGGTTCCTCCAGGCGCCTAAGGAAGCCATGAGGCCTAGAAAGAAGACTTCCTCTGGGTTGCTTTAGAAGGCAGAGCCTGGCCTGGATGAAAGGTGCAAGGAGACACATCTTGGCTTAAGCCAAATACTTCATTCATGTATTCTTTCTTTCAATAAATATTTATTAAGTACCTACTATGTGCCAGGCACTGTTCTAGCCACTGGGGATACAGCAATGAGCCAAATGGGCAAATATCTCTGTCCTGATGACGCTTCCTACTAGTTCAAGATGACGAGTAGGGTCATTCCTGGGAGCTTTCAAGGAGAGGAGCACAGCACTGGGTGCGTGAGCCTCACGTTTACAGGGAGGGTGGCTAGAGGAGTTGAGGTCCTGAAGTCACAGACATCTCGGTACAAGTTCAGATGTCCATTTAACTACTAAGTCATTTATTCGGGTCGTGCAGGAAGGAGACAGGGCAGCTGCATTGTGCTTGGAGAAGGGTGGGCCCTGGGCAGGTGTTGCATGAGGGGTTGCCTGGGAGGGACACTGAGCAGGACGCCGAGTTGGAGCGGACGGTGGGCAGGGACCTCGGGGGAGGGAAGAGGGCTGTGGAGGTGCTAGTCATTCCTGGGGTCTGCCTAGAGGAAGTCGTGCCCACAGCGTCCCAGCTGTCTGTCAACCTTCATAGTGGGTGGCGTTTGATACGGAGGGTGACAATGAGCACATAGCGCTTGGTCTAAGTGTTTCTTCTCTTTTTTCAACGTTGCTTTTGAATGGGCCAGTTTTAGCTCAGCCTGACAGTGTGTTAAGGTGATGGTTTGGGAAGCACCCTGTGCTTGCTTGGGGTTAGGAGTGTGGGTTCAAGTCCAGCTCTGCCATTTGAGATCTTTGCCAGCTGGACAGCTCTGATTCTGTGTTCCCTGAGCGAGTCTGCAGAACACGGTCTTGATGATCCTTGTCATTAAAGGAATCCGACACTCGGGGTCGCTGTTTCTCTTCTTGTCTGTGGCCTCCTGCGTTTGGAATCCTCCATTTGATTGGTTTCCTCCTAACTCACAGTTCCGCTGGCCTGGTGCTGTCTTAATTAACCTAATTCACACTTGTTAGAGAAAAACCAAACCAAACAGGATGTTAGCTGTTTTAGATTGTGTCTGAATGTCAAAAGTGTACCTTTCAGTATTTCCTGTCTCCTTCCCCAGCGGAGGATGTCGATTTGCTAAATTGGAATTTTTAACCAAGGCAGTCAATAAGTGCCAATGTCCATTAAACAGATTGTGGATGTTTATGTACAATGGGATAAGTTCCATCATCTCTTCATGGAAAACACTGCTCAATCTTGAGGCCCATTGAATCCCCAAATCCTAAAAGATAAGATGAAATATGGTCCTGGTGTTTTATAAATATAGCCCATCTCTGGCATTCCATTCAGATAAAAGGCCTCTATTCATTAAAAAAAAAGAATGTTTTCTCATTGCAGTGGTGCCTCTGAGCCCCAGAATTGAGCTCCTTAGAGTTTCTCCCATCACTCAGGCCAGGATTCTGAAAGTCCTGTGGGCGGAGCTGAGTCAGGCTGGGGTGGGCGGGTTGACCTGTGCTTCCCTGCCTCCCAGACCAGAGGTTCAGAGGGGTAGCAGGTGGCAGGTAGGGCTCGTGCCAACCACCCTGTCTTGCAAATGATCCTTGGTGGGTGGCAATCAGTGTCTCTGGGCCCACTCAAATGGACTCCATTTCTGAGCCCACGAGTTCAGCCATCCCACAGTGGAATGTGGTCGAACTGGGGCTGCTGAAATCCGGGCGATTTTAGTATTTCTTTGGTGCTTGATTTCATAACATCCTCACTTCCTTGGCCCACTGAAGTCGCTAGTTGCATTTTTAAGTGAATGAAAGGAGGTACTTCTTGAGAAACCCATGATGTTTCTTGCATCCCTTCCAAGTCTCAAGTTGTAGGATCTCTGTGGGCCCTAAAGAAGAAGGGTGATGCTGGGGAGAGGCAGCTAAGATTCAGAACCCTGAGACCCGCCACTTGCTGGCCGTCTGCCCTTGGACCACTTTCCAGTGCCCCTGGAATAGCATGGGGCCTGTGGCAGGCTTCACTTCAGCCGTCATTGGCTCAAAAAGGATCTGGAAAAAACTGTGTGAACATTAACAAATCTGGAAGTGGTTGATGTTTCCAAGATGCTCATGTCCTCTCTCTGTCCCTTTCTGTGTGCAGTGGTACGTTAATGGGGTGAATTATTTTACCGACTTGTGGAACGTTATGGACACACTTGGTCTTTTTTACTTCATAGCAGGAATTGCATTCCGGTGAGTAGCCCACAAGACTTCTCCCACTTATAGGTGTTTCTGATGCTTTTGGGAGAAAAGGTGAAGGAAAGATCTTTGACGTTTTGAGCCCACGATAAGCCCGCCCCCCCCGCCATCCCCCGCCGTTACAGATCATTACAAAAGACCATCATCTCTGCCCCTTCGAGACACAGCTTGTTTGGCATAACGTCCTGTCTCATCTCCTCCCCTCTCCTGGTGATCTGTAATTGAAAAGGGGTTCTTCATCATTTTTCTCTTCATGCATATAGAATTTGGGGAGAGATAATTAGAAATTGAGGAGAGTAGAGAATAACGAGAATGCTAAATATTGCTCAGCATTTTCATTTGGGGCCATATAATCTTCTAAAATGTGCTTCACTTTGACGCGAGTGCTGGCTATGGGCCTTGCGCTCCCAGCTACAAGCATATTTCAGTCCCAGAGCCAGAGCCTGTCATTATAAAAACCAACCTAAAATTATGGTTGAAGGCAAAAAGCAGTGTGCACTCCACGTGGTAGAGAAATTGGGGTACGCCCCAACCATGGCCCCCACTGCCTTTGCTGCGTCCCTGTAGGCCTGCCTTCCCCCGATAGCTTCAAGGCAGAGCTTGTGGTTCCAGCTGAGCCGATCGAGTGGTGTCCCTTTGTAGAGAAGCCTGACAATTCATATTTACACCTACCCAGAATGAGACGGTTTACAATGAGCGCTCACTCTACGATTTGAAGGGAGGAAGAACTCAATTTCCTCCTCCAATAGCTTCCCTTTCGACTTGGGTTAAAGGCCCAGCATTTGAATCACCGTTGGTTGGACATGATTTCTAGAGCATTCCATTTAGCAAGCACATATGGCTTTCAATTAACACATTAGCGGGTGGTCAGCTAATCAAATGATCTGGTGCAAACGAGGTAAGTTTCATTAGGGGGAAGCTGGCAGGGTCAAGTCTCTGGTGGTTGGGGTGGGGTGGGCGCTGGGGTCGCTCTAGAAGCCTGTGAGCCAGGAAGTTAGCGATACGGAGATTGGGTTCCTGCAGCAGTATTTGAGGATGAAGGACTAAAGTGGCAGGAATCTCTGAAAGCTTTGTTGTATGTGATGTCCTTGCCTCTACTGGAGTCCACCAGGGCAGAAGATCATGGCCTTTGGTTTTCAGTGACTGACAGGTGGGTGATATCCCTGGCCTGTTTCCAGTGTCAGTCCCCAGGCTCTCGGCTGGTGCTTCACGTTGGTCATTTTTCAAAGTAAAACTTCGAAATGTTTTTTCAGTATCTCACAGATTCCATTCCCTTTCTTTCCCTAGGCTCCACCCTTCTAATAAAACCTCTTTGTATTCCGGACGAGTCATTTTTTGCCTGGATTACATCATATTCACTCTAAGGTTGATCCACATTTTCACTGTAAGCAGAAACTTGGGACCCAAGATTATAATGTTGCAGAAGATGGTAAGTACAAAGAACATTGGTAGTCGTCATTCTTCTTGCTATGCTGAGTTCCTTTAATTGTTGATGGGGGGGTTGGCCATAGAGTGACTCTTGCATTTCGCAATCAGTAAGGTTTGCTTTCTTTGATGTGTTTTCATCAGGGGCCTCTCCCAGGTTAAAATTTAACAAAAAGTAACTGTGAGAAGCAGACAGTGTAATTCAGTGCATTGTGAATAAAGAAACTCAATCCGTTGTATTTATTTGGATTTTACACTTTACCAAGAGCTTTCATTTGAGTCTTAATAATTCACTAAGAGCATAGGCAAGATAGAGATTTTATACCCATTTTATAGATGTGGGTAATCGGGTCCAAGGAGACGAGTAGGTTTGTCTAGAGACGTGCGGTGAGCTGGAAGCACAGTGAGGCTGGGACGTCAGTCTTCCAACCATGTAATATAGATGCAGGCACAGCACCACTAGACCCTTTTTATAGGGACCTATAACAGAAAGATGGTGGCCTAGTGGTTGGGGTCAGGTGCTCTCACTGCTGTGGCCCGAGTTCCTGTTCCAGTCAGGGAACCATACCATCCGGCTGTCAGTTGTCACACGGTGGTGGCTGTGTGTTGCTGTGATGCTGAAAGCTCTGCCACCAAGATTTCAAATACCAGCAGGGTCACCCATGGTGGACAGGTTTCAGTGGAGCTTCCAGACTAAGACAGACTAGGAAGAAGGACCTGGCCACCCACTTCCAAAAACACTGGCCCTGAAAATTCTAGGAATGGCAGCAGAGTGTCGTCTGGTAGGGCGCTGGAAGGGGCGAGGATGGCACAAAAAGACTGGACGGGGCTCTGCTCTGCTGTCCACGGGGTCACCAGGAGTTGGAATCCACTCAACGGCACTAACAACCAGGACCAGAAAGATAATTACACACTGACAAGGATGCTTTGCTGAGCTTTTTTCCAGATGCCCCAGCTTCCCGTGCTTCTGTCTTTAAATCAGATGGGAGTCAGATTAGCTCATCTGGAGATTTCTTCCAACACCGAGGATTGTTGAGTTTGTGGTTTTAATTCAAAGCATATCTGAGGCATCCCGTCACCATGAAGTCGTGCTGTGTGTGCAAAAAATTAAAACGAATTAAACTGTGCATTCTTGTCTAATAAGGGTAGCTTTTATATTGTTAAAAAAAATGAAGGACATTATTTAGGGATTTAAAGAAGGTGAGCACCGTGAGATGTAGAGAAGGCGGAGTTCTCCAAAGTTAGGGCCCTCTTTTGCTCTCAAGCTGGTCTCTCATTCAGAAAGCTTCTATTGCTGAGCTGGCTTGGAGGCAGCAAAAATGCATCAGTTCGTTTCGACTCTGGAATAGAGATGTTCCAAGACCCAAAGGTGACGATGGCCTTTTTTTTAAAAATTAGTGAGGGAACGCTGGGTGAGTTGGGTTCCCCAGACCTTGGAACCTCTGCCCTTCTCTGTGGTCAACTGAGGGGACGAGGCGCCTTTGGCGCAGTCCTGACTCCGTTCCCCTGTCCTCCCTTGACAGCTGGTAGACGTGTTCTTCTTCCTGTTCCTCTTCGCTGTGTGGATGGTGGCCTTCGGGGTGGCCAGGCAAGGGATCCTCAGGCAGAACGAGTATCGCTGGAGGTGGATATTCCGCTCGGTCATCTATGAGCCCTACCTGGCCATGTTTGGCCAAGTGCCCAGTGACGTGGATGGTGAGCCTGACTTGGCCCGGGGGGGGGGCGGGGACAGTGGACAGGAGGCAGTCGCTTCCAGAGCCAGCCTCTGGGGCTCCCCACGCTGACCCTTGGGGATGTCACAGAAGCACACGGCGAGCCCTAACCCTGAAAACCTTTCCTTTGTGCCTGAGCGGGATTTTACGTCTGCCTTGCAGATGGTGCCCCAAATTCAGCCTGCCAGTTTCAAACTCTTTAAAAATCACATTTCTCATATTTTCAGCAGCAACATAGCAATTGACAGCAACAAGCCCCACGAGTTTAGAAATGAGTGTTGTGAGTCATGCTCTCCTATATAACCGGGCACCCAGTTATTCCAAAAAAAAAGCAATATTAAAGATTTTCCATTGGAACCTGGGAATTTAAACTTCCAGAGTTAGCCCACTGCCAGCTATGCTGGGGAGGCAGGCCGGTGGTGATGAAGATGGCGTTAAGGCTAATGGTGGCAGAGATGGCATTAATTTGCCCGCACGTATTTTACATGAGGAAAGCGTGGGGCCTGTGCAAACTGGTGTGTGTTTTGAATGAGCTGTTGAAAGCATCTTTACGATGCTGACAATGGTCTGGGCTTGTCATGTTCTGTCCTGCCACCCGAAAAGGATCCTGATGTCTTCCCTGCCCTCTTGGTCGTATTTCTCAGCTCCCTGGTGTTTTCTCGATTTTCCTCGGGGCCTCCTGCCGTCTCTCTGGCCTCCTCCGCTGCGGCCTCTTCCAAGATCTTAGAGACAGCTCTTTTTCCACGCAACGGTGGAAAGGCACTTTGTTATTATTATTCCTTGTCCGCACGTGCCGTTTTTCATAGATGAGCACATTGCATCCTCGGCGACAACCCCGCACGTCGGTGGTTTCAGTCCTTTCGTGAGGTGGCTCACAGTAACCTAAAGAGCAGGTGGCAGGCGGAGTTCAAATCCTGCTCAGCCACGAGTGCGCTGTGTGCCCTGGGAAGTGACTCGACCTCTCGGTCTCTCCATTCTCTTATGGGTCAAACCAGCGTAGCCCCATCTTCCCCGCAGGGCATCTCACCAGCCGCAGGACCTCACTCCCACACCCGGAGGAGGAGAATCTCTAGCCCAGAGCAGCTCCCAGAGGGCCAGATGCTTATGTTCATTGCCTTCTCTGAGCTTTCTCAGATGCACCTCAGCACATGCAAATGAAAGCTCCCCATCCTCCATTTCAGACTCGGACTTCCTCCGAGGCCCCCCATTTAGGGTCTGTTGCCACCGTTCATGCAGTTGTGCAAATCAGAAGCCTTGATGTCACGTCCGTGACACCTCCTGTGATTTCATCCACCATATCCAGTTTATCAGCTACTTTTACTTGACTTTATCTCCTAGATGTCTTTGAAATTCAACCTCATTTTAGCATCCCCACCGCCACCCCCACAAGCCATCCTCACTACCTTCCTGCATGGCTCTTAGTGTAACCTCCTCATGTTGCCCTCTGGCTCGTTATGATCTGTGCTGTGGCCAGAGTGGTCCTTTAATAGAGAGAACCTGATGTGTCATTCCTCTGCTTAATGCAGTCTAATGGCTACCCGCTATTTTTAGTATAAAGATAAAAAAATTAACATGTCTGGTCGCTGCACATCTTATTCTCTCATGGCCACAGAAGTTTCCAACTTCCTACCACAGGGCCTTTGCATGTGATGTTCTCTCTCTGGGTGCTCTGGGCGCCCATCTCTCCTCTTCGTGTAGTTGGCTCCTGATCATCCTTTTGCTCTCAATTCAGAGACCCTTCCTTCTTAGGAAAGCTGTTCCTGGATGAGTTGCCTCAGTTTATATCCACAGAGCATAGTGGGCATGTCATTCTTAGCATTTCTCATGGGCTAAAAATTTAAACATACGTGGTTGTTTATCTGCCTACCCAAAGAGGCTGGAAGGTCTCTGAGGGCAAAGATCATGCCCTTCCTTTTATCTCTGATCGTGGTGAAGTCCTTGGCTCATAGTAGCTACTCAATAAATCCCTATTGAATGCATGAATGAGTGATTCTACGTTGTTTGGATAAAGCACCTTAGAACAGTGCCCAACACATCCCATGATCATCACGTGCCACAGCACTGCCCCCTCCAGAGGATCCTCACTTTGCCTCTTGGTTCTACATCCTCAGGTACCACATACGACTTTTCCCACTGCACCTTCACCGGGAACGAGTCCAAGCCGCTGTGTGTGGAGCTGGACGAGCACAACGTGCCGCGGTTCCCCGAATGGATCACCATCCCGCTGGTGTGCATCTACATGCTCTCCACCAACATCCTGCTGGTCAACCTGCTGGTCGCCATGTTTGGGTATGTGTGCAGTCGGTTCCCTGGGTGTCTGGCTGTACCAGGAGGGATGGAGGGGCTGGGAGCAAAGCAGCCATGGTCTACCCTCGAGGAGCTTACGGTAGAGCTTTAGGAGACTGGTGGGCTGGATGCGGTGGGGCCTTAAAGGGACTGTATTAAAAATACATTGTATCCCTATTAGCTGTGCTATAAGTTTATTTGACACCCAAGGTGAGCACGTGTAACACCCTCCAGGACGTTCAGACTCTGTATGTTCAGCATCCATTTCACAGTCTCCCTGGAGCGCCATGACGTTGACGTGACGTTGACTACAACGCAGTTCAGCTCATCTCCAAGGTTCTTATTTCCCGTGGACTCAGTGGTATGGGTTCTAGGCCTTAAAGGACACAGCCTGGAGTTAGTTACTCCTTCACAGTTTTCGGTTTAACTACAAACAGAAAGAACAGAGTCAGGAGACTGAGTCTCCTTTGGGGCTCACGTCTAATCAAGTTGGGGAGAATATGATATGGACGCTAAACTGTTTTTATTGCCTCTGGCCATTCTCTTTAATACTTTTAGAGAATCATGGTTTTCATTTCCCCTTCATCTCTCTTAGGAGGGTTTCAAAGAGCCCCACGAGATAGTTTCGGTGGGAGTACTTTAGTTTTATGCTGTTGCTTTATGGTGGGTGGTCATTTTGAGTATATGAATCCTGGCACAGATAGGCAGACAGAATAATTAGCAACAAAAAACAAATTAAAAAATTATTTGTTAAACCTTGGGGTGGAAGAGAACCCATTAGTCAAAATCAGAAACCAAGTAACTGTGAAAGGTAAGATAAACACATTTGATTTCATAAAACAAGTGTTGAAGGTAAAGGACAGCTCTGACGAAGTCACGAGGTGAACGACAGACTGGGGGGGGATGTTGACCTATGGTGAGCAAAGGCTTTTAATTCCTAATATAGAAAGAGCTCCTGCAAACTGATAAGAGAAAGATGGCCCAGTAGAAAATTGACAGAGGAAATGCAATTCAGAGAAGGAAAATTCAAATGGCCCATAATGGTATGAAAAATTGGTCAACCTCGTGGAGAGAAAAGGTCAGATGAAACCAACAGTGAGATACCGGGACACATCAGATGCGCAAATATGAAAAGGAGCCCCTTTGCTGGGGATGATGCTGGGGAATGGGTCCTTGCTGCTGGAAGTGTGAAGTGCCCCTAGCTCTTCAGAAAGAGTGATGAAACAGTAATAGCAAAAATACACAAACCCTTGACCCAACTCCTTCACAACGGGAATCTATCCTAAGGATGTAGGTACAAAGAAAGATGTTTACTGGATCACTGTTTGATGCCTATCAATGAGTGAATGACCCAATAAAGCGCGTTATAGACTACAGAATCATAGGCAGCGATCAAAAAGAAAAAGATCTATATTTATTGGCTCGGAAGGACAATATTTTGTTAAATATAAAAAGCAAATTGCAGACATTTTTATGATATAGCCTTGTTTTCTTTCAATAAAAAAAAGAAATTAAAAAAAATCTGGTATATATTTCACTCGTTACAATGATCACATATTGCTTTTGTAATTTAGAAAAGAAAATAAGAAAAGGACAACTGTCCCGTAGAGCCCTGAGTTTCTGAGAGACACAGGATTGTAGATGAGGGTCAGTGGCCTCCCTTTGTGGGGCCTGAGTGGGGCCATGTGCCTCTGGGGATGTCACTCATCGAAGGGGCTGAGCAGCGAGGGACCGTCTGGTCTTCCAGTGTTCAGAGAAATCCTCCTCCCGTCCGGTTTCTACCCTGTGGCCACAGGGATATTTCTAAAATGTCACTGCTCTGTTTAAAATTCCGGAAGACTTTCAGTATTTCCCCATAGCTTTCAGGGTAAATTCCAGACTGTCCGCTTCCCCCCAGGCCGTCCGTGACCTGGCCTTTGAACATACCATCAGGCTTCACCCCTGCTATCTGTCCCCAACAGGCACGCAAGTGTCCATCTCTAAACAGGGCCATCTGTCACGCCTGATGCTTTTGCACATGCTGGTCCTTTTCCTGGCTTGTTCCATCTCGACCGTCTCCTGCCCCATTCCTGTTTGCTGTTTGAGTTGGCAAGCATCACTCTTTGCCCGAGTGGTTCCTGATGCCCTGTCCACTTTGCATAGAGGCTCCTTGGGCCCCTTGCACAGGGACAACTTTCTCTCCTGCTGGACAGTAAGCTTTGAAGGATGGAGCTGGGGCCTGTCTGAGCACCTGGCACTTTGTGGGTTGGTTGGATGAGTGAAAAGAACAGGCTTCTTTCCCATGTTTGGTTCATTATTTGGTCATCAGTTAGGAGTTTGGCTACCAGGTCTGTTATTTACTGAGAAGCATTGATGGTGAATAACGGACCAGCAAGTGATTCATCTCACAGATGTAGAGCATCTGCTCTGTGCCAGGTGCCTGGGCCTCAAAGATCTCGTGGTCATTGGCACCATGTGGCCTTACAGAGGGAATGTGCAGCTTCCCCGTCACCCCCCCGACTGGAGGCCAGGGAAGGACTCCAGAATCGGGAAGCCTGTGTCACTCACAGGAACCTAGACAGTGTCATGCTGCCAGAGGTCCCCAAGTCTGAGCTTGCAGAGAGAGGTGGCAGGTAAAGGGTGACCATGTGTCCACTCAAGGGCAAGGAAGGCAGGACCAACTCCCAAACCTGAGGCAAGAGTGAGGAGGGCAGGGGATGGTTTGGGGTCCTATTTTATAGGGATAACATATCCTATAAGCCTTTACCTCAAACCTTGGATAGTCTCTGTAAAAACCGACCACATATATAATTTCTACAGAAATTAAACCAAAGGGCCGTCAGCTCCCACTGCCGTGACCTTTGCCCTCCTCTAATTCAGTCAATCTCCCCTAGGCACAGAGTAGAACAGTGCTCAGAGCTTTCCTGAGTCTGTGTGCTCTGAGCTGTTCACAGACTCTCGAGGACATGTCACGTTGGTAATCCATTATCAGGATTACAGTCGTGAAGTGACAGCATTTGGAGCCAGCCTGTCATTTTCACTTTGAGGAAATGAAAGTCGGGCAGCTCAGTGTCAGCGGCCACACTACTGTGGGGCTTGGCTGTGTCCGTTGGAGGCTGGAATGCAGATCTCCTCCCGATGAGCCCAGAGCCATCGCACCACACCCCACTGTTGCCCCTACAGTGCTTAAGTGTGACAACTTGGGGACATGTCCTCTCTAGGGGGGTGCCTCTTGGGTTTGTCCTGGGTTAAACCAAGGGCCTTTTCTTTGTTAACACCTGTCTGGGGACTTGAGAGCAGCTAGAGCGGTCCCCTTGCCATCCTTGGACGAAATCGTCAGACGCTGTTCTGATGGCTATGATGGTTGTTCTGGGCTTACTCTGAGAGCCGTTGGCCCCAGGCTGTGACCCCTGTGTGACACCACATCAAAGTATTCCTGTGAAAGCTTAACCATACACAATGGCCACCTTATGAGCTGTAACGTAAACTCACACTCGGGGATTTTAAAGCATCTTGGAGTGCTCTCTCTGTGGTATTCACAGGGAGAGGAAAAGGGTGCAAACATCTGAGCTTATTCTATATTAATATGATTGATTATCAGAGGCCCTGAGTGAACTTAAAATCAGTAGATGACTCTGGGTTGTCTTAACGCAGGCTGTAGCCCTTATAGGCACTGTGACCTGAAGATAAAGCCACCCCATGTGTTTCTTCCGAAAAGGACTCGTCAGACATGCCCTAATCTAGACTAATTCCTAAGAGTAAAATATTTTTTGAATCTTAGGAATAATGCATGTTCATTATGAATACACAGGAAAATAGAAAAAAGAAAATGATCCCCTGGTACAGACTAAAGTTTTGGGTGCTATACTTCAGCAGACAAAGGGAGGCTGTTGAAATGGGTGAAAAAAGAAAAAAAGAGGGCAGGTAATTGTAATAATAGTAATAGCTGGGGCTGTCCCTGTGGTGTAGTGGTTAAGTTCACGTGCTCCACTTCAGCAGCCTGGAATTCACAGGTTCGGATCCTGGGCACAGACCTTGTCAAGCCATGCTGTGGTGGCATCCCACATCAAAAAGAGGAAGGTTGGCAACAGATGTTAGCTCAGGGCCAGTCTTCCTCAGACACACACACACACACACACACACACACACACACACAAATAGTAATAGCTAGTATTTATTGATACTTTTCAGTACTAAGCACATCCACATGCTACCTCATTTAATTGTTAATCATTTTGGCGTAAGTGTGGCTTTATTATCATTTTACAAATGAGGAGTTGGAGGCAGCAACCTCTGTTAAATTAACCTGCTGTTAAGGGAGTTGGTGGGCACATAAATATATTAACATAATATAATATAACATAATACAATATAATGTAAGCAGCCTGAAAGGCTATTTACAAAGGACCATGGTGCACAGAAAGGGGGCCTGTGAATTGTGAAAGATAGTTGCGGGGGGAGCTAGGGTCAGCAGCAGCTAGCAGAGGTGACATTTGCTCAAGGACCGTGTGCCTGGAGCCCAGAGCCTGGCTGGGGAGGGAGAAGCAGAGGAGATGAAGTGACTCTGGGAGAATTGGCAACCTCCAAGTGTGGAAGAGTAGGCCAGGTTATGGAGGGTCTTTTATCCATGTTAGGGAATTTAGACATTTTCCTGTAGGTGAAGGGAGAGGGCACGGGTCTTTACACAGGTGCATGGCACAGGCTTAGTGGTGCTATTCTGATAGCCGCTGAATTGAGTATTCCTCAATTGAGTTAGCACTTCAAAGATCAGTGCGGTGAAACTGCTGGTTGTCTCTCGTGTTGGCTGCTGTTGGCTTTGAACTTGCTTTCTTGATGCTGCGGAAGAAGAGGGGAACGGGGATGTGCGGCTCATTTTAGCATGCATGCCGGCGGGCACTGCGAGGTGCAAAAAGTCAGGGTCACTAGGGGTCCTGGGGTGGCGCTGGTTGGATATTGCTGGTGTGTTGGGGATGAAATAATGAACAGAAAGTGCAGGAAATCTGTGAAAAGCTTGCAGGAGGTGTTTGATTGAAATCTAGCTGGCAAGTTTCTTGTACTTCAATTTATTCTAAAATTCTGCCATTGTTTTAGCATCCTCTTTTTCTTCATGAATTTTTTGCAGACTTTTCATTCTGTTCTGTGGATCAGTCTTTCTATTTTGGTTTTTATTACCAAATGGCTTTAATTACCAACTTTTAAAAAATCATTTTAACATCTGTTGTACAAGTCCCCTTCATTATCCTTATTCAAAACTTTCCTGGCTTTTCTTGTATATTTAACCACATAGAGGAGTCCAAGCCTTATCTTCTGAAATCCTTTTTTCTTTCCCATTCCAAAAAAAAAAAAAGCAACCTTGTGAATTTTATTGTAATGATGTTAACTTTGTAGAATCATTCAGGGAAAGCTGGCATCTTTAAAAAATGGTATCTTACCATCCAGAAAAAATAGTGTGATCCTTATTTATTCAAATATGTATAGTTTCTCAGTGAAGTTTTATGGTTTTATTCATATGAATCTGGCAGGTTTTTGTTACACTTTTTTCCTAGCCATTTGTGGTTGTGAGCGAGATATTTTTTCTATTATGTTTTTTTAAGAAGCACTTTTTGATATGTAGGAAGGTTGTTAAAGTCTTGCTTATTTACTTTGGAACAAATCCCGTCTCTGGTCTTTCTTTTCTGTTTTTCTTTTATCATGTCTTGGAAGGATCCTCCTGTTTCTTATTTATTAAGCTCCTTTCTTTTTCGTCGTCTTTTTTTTCTTTTCTAATCAGAAATGGATGTTGAATGTGGCCAGAAGAATTTCTAGCAACTATTGAAATGATGTTTTTTCTTTTGATCTATGATGTAGTCTAAAAATGATGAATTATATAAATGATCTTAATTTTTAGTCATTCTTCTATTCTTTGCTCGTGGCATCTTATTCTTTTAACATCCTGCTGGATTTCATTTGTGTAGGAGACTGTCTGAATCCTAAACATTTGTTATCTCTTGATAACATTTTTGATTGCAGTGAATTCTTGAAAGTTTGTCTCTGAGGGGGCCTCTGCTTCCTCCTCGTCTCCTGCTTCCTCCTGCTCTCCTGCTTCCTCCTCTCCTGCTTCCTCCTGCTCTCCTGCTTCCTCCTCGTCTCCTGCTTCCTCCTCGTCTCCTGCTCCCCTGAGGGTGTCTAGGTGGTCTTAGGAGCCGGAACTCAATTATCATCGCAAATCTCCTGCCACCTGGGTAGCTGAGGGCACAAGAGATCATGGGAGATGTAGAGTCAAAGGGAACGTAGCAGAGTCCCTCTCAGGGAAGATGCTAGATGGTCCGTGGGTGGCAGGGAGATTCTGAGAACCATTTGAGTTGGGGTGATGAGAGCCTGGATGGGAGAGACGGTCTCTAGGCTGCTCTGGACGTTGGGCTTTGCTGAGGGGTGGGTGTGCTTGTGTTGGCACTAGTGCGCAGCCTCTCCCCTACAGAAATGGAAACCAGTGTCTAAAGAACATGAAAATTATTCCAGCAAAGCAGTTTGAAGCAGTCCTCAATTATCAGCCTTCCCTGGGAAACGCTTGTGTCTCTTTGTCTGAGTCTGGAACAGAGTTGAGAGAAAAAGAACAGTTTGGAAGCTGCTGCCATATGGGAAAGTGGACCTCAGTAAATAAACCTCAGCATGGCCAACCCCAGAAATGCATTATTAATGCATGATGGCTTTGGGTGTTGATGCCCCGTAATCGGCTATCTCACCCACTCCACCTGGGATGTGGATAAGGGTTTTTGCTGTTTGCCCAGGAAAGGAACACTGCTTGCTGGATCCACCTGGGCCCTGAGGTGCAGAGGAAGCAGAGATTCCAACAGGAGGCTCCTTGCAGCCAACCGGGTTGTCCTGAAGAACAAGTAAAACAGCGATCCCAGGCAGAGTTCTTCAGAATAGAGAATGACGCAAATGCAAAGCTTGGTTTTGTGGGCTCTGGCCTAAATATATTGTAGATCATAGATTGGCAACTTTTTCTGTAGGGGCCAGCTAGGGTCTTTGCTTGGGCCAGTTGCCCCCATCCCCACTTCCTGCTTTATAAAAACCATTCTTTGCTCACGGGCCCTACAAAACAAGTGGGGGGCTGGATTTGGACCCCAGGTTGCAATTTGCCCATCATTTTCCAAGATGACCCAGAAGATATGAGATGTTCTTACTGCCTCTGAGTGACCAGTTAAGCCAAGATGCAAATCTCTTTCCACTTGGACCCTTCTCAGCCACAGTTCCACTTTGAGCTCCCAAGGGAGGGTGGGAGGTCCACCTGCCAGAAAGAACACCTTCCTCTGCTCTAAGCATCATCAATATTCCTTGCTTCACTAGGAGTTATTAATTCCTTTTGGACAAAACCTCAGAGTACAACATTCACTGCATTAAAATGGATGCTGTTGCTTCTTTGTGTTGGTGTGTTGAGTTTTAGGCATGGAAGGAGCAGTCAATAAAATCCATTTTTGACAGCATAGAGAAAATTTTAAGATGCTCCTAGGGACAATAATTTGAATGGTGATTCTTGTTCTGGCACAAAGTAGTAAACTGATTTCTGGCAAGTGCTTAGCCTGGACTCCATTAATTGGGGCATGTCCGTCGCCCTCTCTTACTGCAGTGGCCGAAGCCTGCAATACCCTTTGCAGACACAGAACCAGCAGAGACTAGCGAGGGTGGATAATGATGTTAGCCTCCAAGCACCCTGACCTACATTTGGAAGGAACGCCAGGCTAACTGCTGGATTCGGTTTGCTGCACTTCATACATCACAACCACTGTCTTTCATCTAACAAATCTACCACGTAGGGTTGACGTGAGAATCAGTCAAATAACCATTTTACATGTTTAGCATAGGAGCTGACATATGGTTGTTGTTCAATAAACATTAATTCCCTTCCCTTTAAAGACCACGCCCTGTGGAAGAGGCACTTGCTGCAGAAGCTTGTCCTGCACAAACCCAGGACCTGGTGTAGACCTCGGAGGTGTCCAATTCATCAGTAAACTCCAAGATAAGCAGAGCCAAGTTTATAAGCAAAGCCATAACCATTATCTGATTAGGTTTGTGTTTTCCTTGTGTGTGTGATCTTCTCGTGGCTGAAGATATTTAGTCTTGGATTGTCATGTGCTGAGGGTCAAGAATGAGGTCTTGCAACAAACGTATCTGGTTTCTCTGCCTTATCACTTCGTTCAGGTTTGGTCTGAAGTTTTCACCCAGAATTTGAAGAACTGGATGCCTCCCCCTAAGGATTTGCTTATAGGAGAATTCAAATAGTTCATGCTGCGTCTGTGGCTCTCTATTGATGTTAGCAATAAAAGTATCTTGGATGGTTGAGCTTCCCAAGTAGTAAAATGCTTCACTGTTATCTTTTACTAAGTAGTCCAACCAAATCCTTTTGAAATAGAGCGTAGCTCAAAACATTTCATGCTCCCCTCTGTGGGGTGGCATGGTGTTTTTGCAAAGCAAATAGATGCTGGGTTGGATGGCAGAGTGCAAATCTTCCTTCTTCATTTCCTAGTTGGGTGACTCAGACTATGTACCTACTCTTGCTGTGCCTCAGTTTCCTGATCTGGTAATCATAGATGAAAATAGGACTTACATCCTACAGAGGGTTGTTAGATTAATTGTCATCAATCTAAGTAGGCTACTTAGAACAGTACTATTGATGTTAGCAATAAAAGTATCTTGGATGGTTGAGCTTCCCAGTATATACCAGTACCAGTATAAGTACTGGTATATAATAAGTGTTAGCTATTTTATAGTCTTGGTTTACCTTGAAACTGAGAAATCAGTGGTATAGTCAGAAATTTTCCCAATAAATAGACATTTTTCTAATTCTGTAAGTAATTCATGCTCATGGCACCATGTTCAGAAAGCAAACAGAAAGAGAACAAAGAGCATCCATGATGTGATGCCCGAGATGACCATCATTCACGAGGGGTCTACTGCTCCCTGTGAGTTGTGGTTTACTTGGCGGAGATTATGTTGTTAGCGCAAGTGTGAGCCTAGTTATTTTCACTTAACATATATGATAAGCATTTTCCCAGAGTATAGACGTTAGTCACCAACATAATTTTCTTTTTTTTTAGATTTTTAAAAAATTTTTTTTCCTTCTTCTCCCCAAAGCCCCCCGGTATGTAGTTGTATATTCTTCATTGTGGGTCCTTCTAGTTGTGGCATGCGGGACGCCACCTCAGCGTGGCTCGATGAGCAGTGCCATGTCCGAGCCCAGGGTTCGAACCAACGAAACACTGGGCCGCCCGCAGTGGAGCGCGTGAACTTAACCACTTGGCCATGGGGCCAGCCCCCATAATTCTTAATGGCTGTGTAGTGTAATCCTATTGATTCACCGTAACACGTGATACATTGTCTCAGCATCGGACATCTTCATTGTTCCAGTCTGTTGGGTGGAAGGTGGGGACAGCTGTCCTTACAGCGCTTTTGCAAACAGCCGTGTGTGTCTATCCATTCATATATTTTCCTTTCTCAGTATCTCCTTAGTCATAGGTTAAACTTCCAGAAGTAGAGTCGCTGGATCAAAGGGATGAACATTTGTAAGGCTCCTGATAAATATTAATAGCTTTTCCAGACTGTCTACAATTAAACTCCCATAAACGATGTTTGAGAGGCAAGCGATTTCTAAGAGAGTTGACATCTCGGGCCTCTTTGCATCTAACACAATAACAGACTAACGAACAAAGACACTCCTTGGAAGATCTTGAAACAAAAATCATTTTAAAGTTCATTGGACATTTTTTTGGTGCTTGGGAAAAAAAAACAAAAGCCAGACACAGTCTTGGCCCAGCATGAATGGAAGAGCGCCTGGTGCTGAGTTCTTCCGGGCCAGCACTAGTATGGATTCTGCTCTCCCATCTGGACTTAAGTTCTCCGAGCGATCACTTGATAGCAATATTACCGTATTTGGCAATTAAGTGATGAGGCCTGTGGAAAGCTAAGGCTGGACCTTCTCTCCTCTCCTCCAGCTACACGGTGGGCATGGTTCAGGAGAACAACGACCAGGTCTGGAAGTTCCAGAGGTACTTCCTGGTCCACGAGTACTGCAGCCGCCTCAACATCCCCTTCCCTTTCGTCGTCTTCGCTTACTTCTACAGGGTGGTGAAGAAGTTCTTCAAGTGCTGCTGCAAGGAGAAAGACGTGGAGTCTTCCGCCTGCTGTGAGTGGCTTGTCCGTTTGTGCTTGGGATCAATGCAGTGATTAATTTCAGGGAAGCATGCCTGGTCCCTATCTCAACGGGCGGGAATTATTCGGTTATTTCACTGCTCACATCAGATCAGGCATCAGGCCAGCCAATGGATTACTCAAGAGGAAGAGCAGATTAAGACAGTGTTGTGGATCTGCCGGGATAGCCTTATTTTGGGAGACTAACTTTTGGACAGACACAATAATAATATAAACAGTATGTTGAACAAGTACCAGTCAGGGGATGTTGTCAAAACATGACTTTGCTTTTGCTCTCTGTTGCTTCTATGAATTTATTCTCTGGGAAACATGAGCTTTGACTCCAGAAGGGCTTATGACTTTTTTGATTGTTCGGGAAATAGAAAATCTTACAATAACTTAACTTGGTAAAACAGTTTCAGTTTAGGAACTAGAACTTATAGTCCAGTATATTAACCTGCCCGTTAACCAGCCTTCAGAGGGGAGACCCCCACCTTATACTCTCCCAGCTGGCAGAGTTGTCAAGAAGCGTGGGCTGTTGGCTTTCCCTCTCTTTCTTACTCCCTCTGTCCCACTCACCAGCTGTGTTAGGGGCCCTCTGTGGGTTGGAGCACAGTGAGGAAGGAAGAGAAGGAGCAGGAAGTCCTTTTTAGAAAGAGGTACTGTTCGAGGCTGGCTCCGTGCTTTCTGCCCTGGCACATGTTTAAAACTGAGCCTTTAGCGTATGGGTGCTTGGTGGGTCCTTCAGTGGGTCCATGGTGGGCACCTCCACCCACACCCTCAACACTTGGCAATGCTTTCTCTGGTGGCTGCTCCCGGTGAGCCTGTGGTTTCCAGGAGTCTGGTCAACGCAGACTCTCCCTGATGGGGACCCACTTCCTTCTGGAAGGCAGGAGTCAATGTGTCCGCAGGTCAGTTTGTTCTTGCTCTTGTGTGGTCATCTGCCTTCTCAGCCCTGACAACTCTGGGCGGGCATCGTCTCCTGACCCTGCTCTGGGAGCCAGAGTCTCTCACCGTTGGATTCTCAGTCCCACCCAGGGCCAACGTCTCCTTTGACTACAGGGAGCACACATCCATCTCTCTTTGCTGGGTCAGGCTAGGTTTTCTTAACATCTGATCCTGGAGCCACTAAGCCCGACAAGTCTTCCTAGCCCACAGAAGCGTTTCAACCAAATTCAGCACAAAAGGAGGAATAGGCCTATTTTTACTCATCTGCATGTTTCGACACAAAGGAAAAGATAGAAAGGGCACCAGTGGCCCCTTCACCCTGCCCTCTAACCTCAAATTTAAGCCAGGAGATCCATCTCCGGGGTGGGGTCGGGGAGCCACTGCAAAGGCAACTTCTCCATCAGGCACAGCGCCAGCACCCAGGGTCCATGAAAATCTTTTAATTTCTTTTAAAAATCAGGAGAACTGTCTTTAATACCAACCCAGTCACAAAATATTTTGAATATTTCCTTTATCCAGGAAGGGGCCCATGATGGCAAAGGTGCCCAGGCCCCAGGGTGGCCAACTTGTCCTGGTATGCCCGGGATGTCCCCTTCTTAGTACTGAAGGTCCTGCTTCTTGGACATCCAGTTAGGGTGACCAGTTTGCCAGGGACTGTCCTGATTGTAAAATTGCATGTCGTGTATCCTGTCAGTTCTGGGGCCGCTGGTCACCCTACCAGGGCCCACAAAAGTCATAAAATGGCCCCGTGTCCTGACAAGGAATGTAGAGTTAGTGACTCAGGTTGGACCCAGCTTGGGTAGCTGTGGGATTTCCATTCTCAGTCTCTTTCTTAAGGAAAAAGTGAAGAAGGGCCACATTAGGTCCCTAAGCAGATCCATTATATATTAGTGTGTAACAAACACCCCAAACCTGGTTGCCTGAAGTAACCAGCACTTATTTGCTTGTGATCCCATGGTCCTTGCTCAAGGCGCGGCTGGTGGCTGGTCTATGTTCCTCGTGGCGTCCTGCACGTGGCAGGTGGGCCATGGGCTGAATGGTCCTGATGTCCACATGCACCCACATGTGTGGGGTTGACTGGGCTGTCAAAGGGAAGCCTCAGTGTCCCCCAGCTCAGGCTCCCACACAGGGAGGCTGGGTTCCCACAAAAAGCAGTTGCTGTGCAACCTCTGAGGTCTTGACTCAGAAAATCAGATGACGTCTCTTCTGCCGCTTTCTATTGGTTAGAGCAAGTCAGAGGCCCACCCACATCCAGGGAGGTGAGAATGAGGCCCCATTTCTCAATGGGAGGACAGCCTGCCTGCGGGGTGGGGGGGAATCTGTGGCCCTGTTTTGCCATCTGCCACACCAGGTTTCCCCAGAGCAGGCTGGAGGAGCTGATACCGTGAGACGGCCTGCCCCACCCCAACGCTGGCCTGTCAGAAGAAGGCGAGCTTCTCACAGTCCTCCTGACCCCGTCATTCACAGCTGCAACGAGCCATGCTGCTGGAGACGTGCGGATAGGGGCTTACCTCTCATAACTCACCTGCCACATTCAACCTAGATTTGACACACTAGAAGTGAAAACATTTCTCTAGCCAGATAGTTCTGAGCAGTCCAAAGTCATCTTTGATGCCTTGAACAGCTTAAAATAAAATTTTTTACACTATTACAGCTAAGACTGCATGCACCATTGGGAAACGCTCAGTATGTAGGCTGACCCCATGTACATACGTGACACTATTTGCTGTGTCTTTCTTGATCCTCATCAAGCCTGGGCAGGTGAGCACAGATCTTTAAGAAATAGCTTTTTCATCTTTCTCAGCGCTTACCTGATTTTCCTTTTCCATTCTTCTAAAATTGATACACTTTCACAAATCATTTGAATACATTCTAGGTTTTCCTTCCTTGAAAAAAACCTTTTCTGTGATCGATGTGGATGTTATAGAAATGCACAAACTTGGTTCCAGAAAGTGAACTTTAGCAATTTGGGATAGAAATGGGTTGACTTCTTCAATACGTCTTATCACTTCTATTCTAGACTGCCACCGAGAAGCAGTGAAAAAATTCTCGTAAAGTGTCTAAATAGGAGGATAAAAGTGAGAAAGGAAAGTCACTGAATTCTTATAAAGTCCAAAAGCAAGGAGCCCACCCCCCTCACTTCCTGCCACGGTCCCCATTGGAAGAGCTTTGTAGAACCCACCCCACATTTACTGCAGATCTGGGTTTAAAAACAGAATGAGTGTCGGGGCGGAGGGACACTGTGTGTACACAAGAAGAGCGACGCATGAAAGGGCCAGACCCTAGATCAGCACGTAGAAAAGAAACACTGTAAAGCCCTTATGGGGATACAGCTATGAACAAAGGCACATGGGGGCTGGGCTCGTGGGTCACCGCCTGGTGTGGAGCCAGACCTGAGACAAGGCAGTTAGCGTCATGGGGAGCCTGCCATATGGGGAAGGAAGGGGGCCTGGGAGCATTAATTCAGCAAGTACAGTGTGCCGTGTCCACCATGTGGCAGCCAGGCACTGTGGATACAGCGCTAAATAAGATAGAAGCCATCTTAGCCTTTAAACAGGGCTCATAATCCAGGAGGAAAATGAAAAAGCCTTAGTCGAGAAGTGCAGGAAGGGCTAGTTTAGAGAATGTGCAGGCGCCGTGATAGCCGCACCGTGCACGCTTAAACCCCGGACTAGAGTGAGTCGGGGCAGACTTCCTGGAGGAAGTGGGCCTTTAAGCTGAGCCCCAGAGGATGAGTTGGAGTTAGCCAGGCAAAGGGGCAGAGGTTGGGAGGCGGCCACAGAGCGAGGAGTGGTCAGAGAGAGGCGGAAGTTATAGAGGTCAGATGAGAAGAGAGAGGGGTCCACAGGGTCGAGGGCTGAAAAGGGACTAATGAAAGACCGTGGGCTGCATCCCACAGCCAGATGAAGCTCCACACAGTCCCTCTGCCTCCTGCTGCCAGCCCATCATGTCCCAATGAACCATCCTAGATCACAGGAGGACAAAACGTAGGCAGAAGACATGATAGTGTGAGAAACGAGGACATACATCATGAAGCCCACATCACAATGTCCCTTTGCAGATTGAACTTGTTTCCTTCAAGGCAGAAGTGAACCAAGAAACTCCGGGGGCCTGTTTTGGAAATCCTCAGATCGCCACACCAAGGGATTCTCTCAAATCCTGACGCTCATTCTCGTGCCTTGTAGAAGAGCTGTCAGTTTAGGGTTTAGCGGGTGGAGCAGAGTCTTGAGCTGTGTCCCCCAGCACTGGACCACTACTGGGAAAAAGGAAAAGTCTCTGTTAAAGGGGGAAAAAAAAATGGGTGTTGAGGGCAATTTGAGGAGAGGATAAGCTGAGGGAGAATCCAGTACAAAAAGTTAAAGGAATATGTTTAGGTTGTTCTTGTCTCCATATTGGTAAGTTAGACATTTTCTTCTTTGTTTGTGCCTTGTTCCTACTATTCACAGGTGTTGTGTCTCCCAGTGGCTGCTGGGTGTGTGCTTATGTGTTGCTCTCGGGTCTTTTCTTCACTGAACCTGATAAAATGGTCACCGACTGCCATCATTGGGTTTGTGGTCCATATTGGGCCAGTCCTTCCTGTCCTTTTAGTGTATCCCAAATATTTTGATGGTTCAGAAAGTAAAAATATGAATTTTACTAACCTAGACATGATAATCACTGGTAATTAAGAGAAATCTAACTTGCCAAGAACCATCATTTTTTGTAGGATTCCTTAACTACATAGAAGTGGAGACAAGATGCTCGTGAACGTGACCTTCAATATGGGTCATAATACTTCTGTGATGTCCCTGGAGCTCTGATCCCCTCAAGTCTGGTTTTCAGAATGTCGGTGTACCAACGCCCCCCAACTCATGTCACAGTTGAAAGAATTGTCATAGTCAACTCTTTTAATAGCATTATTTCAAGACATTAAATGGCACTTTGGGGATGTCATTAGCTATCACACATGTGTAATTGCCTTTCTTAATAAGAAAGGTGTTTTGACAATTTGGATACGTTGCTGTCTTTCTCCCCATCATTTTGCCTTGGAAGACAAAGTGAGTCATTTCTAACTGAAAGAATAAAAATTCTTTATAGCAGAGAGGGGAATTGGAAGTTGAGGTCTGGAATTTGACTGTGCTCAAAGACCACAACCAAAGACCCGAGGCACGGAATGATGTGTCCCAGCACTGTCTCTGGCTGTCTTGAAGCCGTGTTGTGGACGAGTGTCTATAGGACCTGGGAGGAAGGCTCAGGGCACAACTGGTGCCTTCAGATTTGGAGGCAAATGCAAAGCAAATTTAGAAAACGAATTGCCTACTAGAGGCTCTGGCAACAAGTTTTATATTTTTTCCTGAATGTTTCCAAAGAAAAACAAATAATGGATAAAAGTTGCAGGAAGGAAGATTTTGACTCAGTATAAATTAAAAACAATGTCTGACAATTAGTGCTATCTGGAAAAAAACGACTAGTTGTGTGAGGCAGTGAATTCCCCGTCACTGGCCAGATTCCGGTTGGGGATGGATGGCTGGAGGGGCCATGTGGGATGAGGGTCCACTCTCCAGAGATACATTATGCTCCGTCCAGGATCCGTGGAACAGGAAACTCAGGATAGAAGTAGGGACAAACCAGTCCTCCAGATTTGGGATTATATCCCCCCAAAATTTATTTAATGATTAAGCATCATATGAACATAAAAATGGAAAGAAATCCCCCAATTTGGCCAGCAAATGGACAGGAGCTTCAGCGCGAGCAAGCAAACAGATAGGTCAGAAATGAATGGTCTTGGTTTGGATCCATCTCTCCCATGGACCCTGGGAGAGTGATGATCTTACAAGTGGAGAATGTGAAGGTGTTGCTATTTCCCCTTGTCAAGCAGTTCTTATTCTCAGGAAGGAACCAAGCAGTAGAGGGAAATGAGAGAGCACAGGGCAGGATCTTCTCCACCCAGCATGCAGTAATGACGGGAGAGAGGGAGTCACGAGCCCATGTCCCTCACTCGAGACTTCCGGGCACGCCTGGTCACCGCCCGCTCATTTGTTTCTCCTTGGCGATCTCTAATTCCAGAAACCAGAGCTCTCTGTGCTTGCCAGAGCCTCTCACGCTAATTCATTTCCTAAATTTACTTTGCATTGGCCTCCGATGATGGGGAAGACATGAAATTTAAGCTTGAAATTGCCCCTTTTTGGAGAAAAATGCAAGATTTTTCAAATAACTTTCAGAAAAGGTAGAATCCAAACTTCCGCTTTTGGTACTTTTTGGATGACATCTTCAAATCATAAAAAGTATGCTACCCAGTAATTGCATTTTTACAAATTTTTAATTTTTCATGATTAAAAATGTATCCATATTCATTAACAGAACATTTGAAAAATATAGAAAAGCACAAATAAAGAGCAAAGGCATATATAACCCACCATCCAGAGATAAATATCGTTAACGTACTGGTATTTATTCTATTATTCTTGTATGAGTGTATAATAATTTGATTGCTCTGTGCATACACATTCATAATCTAATTTATCCATTTAATAATAACACACTGTGACCATTTCCCATAGCCATAAATAGTAATCTACATGGCAGTTTTTAACTGTAGAATATTCCACCACATCAATGTACCATAATTAATTTAACCAATCCCTTATTGTCAAATATGTAGCTTGTTTCTACTTTTGTGTTATTATATAACACTATGATAAACAGTTGCGTGCATTCGTTTTGAGCATATCAGTGATGTTTTTCCTTTGAGTTATTTCTAGAAGAGCGATTTCTAGATTATGGGTATGTACACATTTAAGTCTTTTGACATTGGCTGCCACCCCCTCCTCCCCCTTCTCATTCCCCATCCCCCAAGGCTGTAACAATTTGCAGGTTTTCCCCAGTACCTGGGAAGCCTGGTTATCCACATCTTTGCCAACCCAGGGTGTAGTCATTACTATAGATTCTGCTAATTTTCCAATTTGATTGGTGAAGAAGCTATGTTATCTTTTCAACCGGCACGTTCTTGACTGCTACAGAGGTCAGCCATTTTTTCTTGGTCGTTTGTCATTCTTGCTCTTCAGCCATCTGTATCCTTTCTGTGTTGATTTTAAGTACTCTTATCACACTTCTACACACATTTTAGTTTGAGGAAAAGATGTTGGAAACCACTTTGCTGGGAAAAATACGTTGGAAAGAAGTTCCTTTAGGAATTATTTTCTAAAGTGAATAATCACCAATTAAAAATAAACCCGTATTTGCCGTGTGGGATTTGCTTCAGTCCTGTCACTAGCGTATGGCTCTGTCTTTGAGTCCCAATGAATTCTTTTGAAATCCAGGGAGATCTTGTAATTGTTCCTAAACTCTAACATGTTGATGAACAATTTTAAAAGATAATTTAAAAATGAAACTAGATAAATTGGTTCCAGGTGCCCACCTGCACGAACATACGTGCTTTCTTTCCCCCATGAAGTCATATGGAGGATTGCTGTCCATTGCACTAGCACCTGAAACACAGGCCTCATGTTGATCTGTTCTTTTGTTTGCTCACCATCTGAAAGGCCCAGGCATGGTAAGAAATGGAACTAAGAATCTTACTGGAAGGTGTCCCAGTCCAATTTTACAGCGTGCCCTGCCTTAGGTAAAAGGAGAAGACTAGATGTAAGAATTTTCCTTGAGGTCCACACCCAGATCGCATGTTTCAGAAGGGTGGGAATGATGTCTGGTGCTTATTTTCCTCTCCTTCAAAGTTCCTAGCCCAGGGTTGAGAGTAGGCAGTCCATCAGTGATCAGCCAAGTGAATGATCGGTTTAGCGTTTTCATGTCATCAAAATGGAAGAGGTGCGTGTATGAGCTGTAAGAACCAAATTCATTAGTGAAATGATTCTGCTAAGTTCCAGAACACACAGACAGGCTCTAGATCAATCTCTGTTTGGAATAACGATTGCATTCCTGTTTGGCGCAGGCAGCTGCAATTCCTCAATGTTACCGAGAAATTCACTGATACGATGTCACTCTGCTGCTGTCGCTAGTAAGTAACGTTAGTCAGATCAGCCTGTGCTGGACGAATCGAGTTCTCCTGGTTCCAGAGTATCAGAAAATGCCTAGCAGGAGTTGACTGAGGAGCTAGGGGACAAATGAGATGATTTGAATGTTTTTCTTTGTCTCATTATTCAAGGTTTCAAAAATGAAGACAACGAGACTCTGGCATGGGAGGGTGTCATGAAAGAAAATTACCTTGTCAAGATCAACACAAAAGCCAACGACACGTCAGAGGAGTATGTCAGTCGTTCCTTTCTGCTTTGCAAGGCTCCCCTTGTATACGTAAGCTGGCAGAACATAGGCAGCGTATCTGAGCAAACTCTGTAAGGAGAATTTTCAGCAGAGAGCAATAGTGCCAAAAAGATATTACCTAGGGAACTGAAGATGACAAACATGTAAGCGTGAGTCAGCCTTTTGAGAAGGGCAAAGCCACCCATCTACCATCCTTATTGTCCTTTAAGGTCCTGGGAAAGAAAGAGGTATTTGGAGTCTGCAGGGCAGGGCAGGAAACACGTAACAAGTGTGTAGGTCCCTCTGCCGTGGCTGCAGAGGTGGATTTGGAAAACCCACAGATCATGGGCAACTGGCATCATCCTGCAGGGGTCCCATGTGTATCTCTGTGATGAAGATATAGAGAGGTTAGAAGATGGTAAAACCGTTTGGTTGATCTGTTACAGGCTGAGAAGTCCTGAACGTTGTTTATGAATTGCATGGAGTTTTAATAAACATCCCATACAGCTAGATATGTGACTAAATCCATGGATGGTGCACAAAGAATGGATTATGCAGGGTCTCTCAGAATGTGACCTTCTTAATGTGAAGTTACTCTGGGTAACAGTCAGAGCTCCCAACACATCTTGAAATTCACTCTAGCAAAAAAAGAGTAAATATAAGCACAACTAATCTGTTTGTTAGGTTTAACACAGCTATTGGGCTGCACAGGACGCATGGCGTGCTCTCTCTCCTTGAGTAACAAGGCAGACGCCCTAAGCTCTTCTCCATTCCTAGACTCTGAGATTTTGAGTTTGGAAGGGAGGGACCTTACAGGTCATCTCCCACCACCCCATCAAATAAAGGCTCCATCTCTAACTGGGGAGAAAGCGAATTCTGCTTTGGGTATTAGGAAGAAAGTCAAAAAGATAAATGCAGCTGATGTTTAGCTGAAAATGAAAGTGATCTGTATTTCATCCTTTAAAAGACTGTAAAATGGAGTCTCATAGATTTTTCTCAATCTCTCTCTCTCTGTCTCTTGTTCGCTCTCTATTTCTAACTTCCTCGAAGAATGAGGCATCGATTTAGGCAGCTGGATACCAAGGTATACTTCTCTTTATAGTTTGGGAAATATATGTTTTTATCTCTATTATCTTTGAGCTGTCACTGAGAGGCCAGTGATCACGGTCTGAAAAGAAAAAAATTTAATTATTAACAAAAACATAGGTGTGACCCTGTTCCACATTCAGCTTTCTTCATCCAGTGCGTAAGGTCTGGGTGCTGGAAGGGAATGCTTCTCGGATGCTCCCAGCCCATGTGGGGAATAGTGCTGAAATCCTGTTTCCGCGAACTCTAGAGTCTTTTCTGTTTCTGTCTAGCACAGGACCCCTCTTCTCTTTCGCTCGGCTGTAGAGGCAGGTGGAAGATGCTTACAATTACAGGGAACATTAGCGAGGCTCAGAAGAGCAATGTGGGAGCCTGCGAGCCTCTATGCTGGTCTTTGATGCCACTCTAATTTGTAACCAATTTGAAGGGCATTGCAAATACCTGAATACACATTTGAGCATCAGGCACAGGAAGAATGTATTCACCTCCAGCCTGAGCTGGGAAGCCAGAAATCATGATTAGATTTAGCAGAAATTAGAATCGATTCATAAGTGCTGGATCCCTGTTAGAATGTGAAGAGGAGACAATATCTGCTATTTCATCATGGTATTTTGAGAATGGCATCCTGGACGATGGCGTTCATCTTCCCTCCCAGCACTATGAGATTTAACAGCCAGACGACACCTGTCTAGTGTGGCAGAATCTCCAGCACCCAGTACTTCACCCTACGGGAGGGTCTCAATGAATGTTTGTTGAATGAATAAATGAACAAAAGGTGCCCCTCATGGAGCTCCAATGTGAGAATTTATCCAGTTCACAATTTCCTATTGACTTATTTATGTATTTACCATCAGCATTTTGGAAAACCGAGGCCGTGTTTTCATGGGCCTCCTCTCCTGAGCTCTGGTGGGTCCATGCCTCATGCCATTCTGCCTCTCCCACCCTCCAGAGGGGCTCTTCTCTTCCATCCCAGTCTTCCTCTCCTTTCCTTCCCCTGGAACTTCTGGCTTTATACACGGGCGTCAACTACTGAGTGTGATGGTCCATTCTGCACTGACAATCGAATATTTTAGTCACAGTTCGCTTTAGTTACCTATCGCTGCACAGCAAACGACCCTACACTTTAGTGGCTTCCAACAATCATTTTACTTTCCCCTTGTTTTGGGGATCAGAGTTTGGGACGGGTTCAGCTGGATAGTTCTTCAGCTTCCTGTTTTCTCGGGTGGGTTTACTGGGCTGGATTCAGCTGGTGGTGAGTCCAGGATCTGGCAAAGTGCCTTTTCTCTCCCACCTGATGTCTTGTCCATGTGGCTTGGGCTTGTCACAGCCTGGTGGTCTCGAGCCAGTCCCCCTTCCTACGTAGCGGCTGGCTTCCAAGAGCGAGGAAGGAGAAACTGCCAGTGCTCTGGAGGGCTAAGCCTGGACCTGTCACAATGTCACTTCTACCGGTCTATTGATCAAAGCAGTCCCAGGCCAGCCCAGACTGAGGTGGGGGAGGAGTAACCCACCTGTGATGTGGGAGTGGCACACGTGTACAGGGAGAAAGGAACGGGTGGCAGCCATCTTTGGAGACGCCTATCACGGAAGAGTCTATCCTGTTATAGCTGCTCTCATTCTGATGTACTCTTGCTATTTTTCACTGAGGGGCTGGGAAGACTCCTACGTTATTGGAGTTGAGTATCTGCATGAACGATCACGCTAGGGTGTGGATCATGGCTATAATCAGTGGAGAGGGGAAAGAAAAGTGCTGGAAAGTTTTAAAGATGAGAAAATTGAAAGAATATTGAACAGAATGTATGAAAATAAGAATAAGGGATTGGATTCTAAGATTATTTATATTAGACATATAGAATATGTAATAAATAATGTATATATAAAACCTTATGTGACTATTCACTTTTCCCATGTCATATATTTATATTTCAATATATTGCTGGCTGCATCTGTGGCTAGGCCACATGGCAATAGTATTTACTGAGCCCCTGCCATGTGCCAGGCGTTGGGTTCAGTGCCTTCGAAGCGCAGCATGGCCCCCGAATTTCATGGTTGGGTCCTTTGCTAAATGGTTTGGGTGTAGGAGCATTTTCAAGCTGAATTAGGTAGGACTGGATGGCAGTAAGGATGTTGTGTGCAGCATCCAGCCTGCATTCCAGATTGCCCGAGTCTACATTAGCTGGGGGCAGGGCCAGCCACTGTCTGATGGCCCTGAGTCCAGAGAATCAGGGAATGTTTGAGGCAGCTACGGAGGGGCCACATGAACCGGGAACGTCGAGTAGGGAGGCCGGGTCATCCTGTGCGAGAACTTACTGCCTCTTTAGGCTCGATTTTGGGTGTTTTAGCTCAAGAGGGACTTATCTGGCATCCTCCCTTCCAAGAGCCCTCTGAGCAATCAGCGTGGCCACATAAGAGGGGCTTAAATAGTTTGGTTCAAGGAATAGAGGTGCCAGGGGCTTGTCCAGTTTTTGTTTGTTTTGCTGTGTTGTTTTACTTGTGGCTCCGCTTGGCGTGACTTTGGAAGGAGCTCATGGAAAGTCAGCCTAGGAGATGGGCTGGAGATTCTGAAAGCTACGCCTTGATGCTCTCCTTCCTCTGGGGCACACAGAGGATGGACAGGCCGGCAGCAAGCGTGGGAGGGGCAGGGAGCGACAGGGCAGGAGCCTCAGCCCTCTGGACACCTGTAACGCCTAGGTCAGAGGTCATTGGCAGAACCAGGGCACTGCACCAGCTGGCCCAACTCCCAGGGGCCAGGGAGACCGCCCAATCAGTGGGGTTTGGGCAGGGCGACACGGTCAGTGGGGACAGGGGGCCTAAGCATTGGGGTTGTGGGAGGTGGGGGCTGAGGGAGTCCCCTATAATTGAAATCATAATTGAAGGCTGTTCACACGCATGTGAAAGCCAAGGGTCTCGGGGACCTCAGAGAAGTGTTTGCAGGTTTGATACCCTGTGCATCCCCCTGGCTGTGGAGCTCAGCCCCTATGCCAGTTCCCACAAGAAGCCCACCTATACCAGGCATGTGGTAGGTTTGGGTAGAATTGGGGTGGATGCTGGGGAAGCCTCAAACTGTGCAGCATGGAGCCGTCGGCCAGCTGTCGCCCGTGTGATTTCAGACCTCTCTGCCCCCGCTTCTTTCCTGACCCCAGCCCCTTCTCCTCCTGCTCCCCTGCCCCTCCCTCTCCTTCTTAGTCCCTCCTCCACCCTCTATCGCTCCTCTTCTGAGCAACAGGAAAGCCTCTCCTTTCTATCCACAGGGAAGTTTAGGAGTCATCACTGTTTCTTGAGCGAGCTCTCGGAGTCTGCCATCCCACTTCAAACAGCTCATTCAATCATTTTACTGTCAACAAATACAGGCCTTTCCCAAAAGCTCCTCTAGTGAATAAGAAATTTCTCCATCTCATTATACCAGAAAGCAAAGTTATTCACAATTGACCTTAAGTCTGTAAGTAGGGATCTCACATGCCTTCTTTATTTGGGGCAGCCATTCGTCCTTATGGCTTCTTTTTGTTCTTTTTTAAAAAAAGTTAAATGAAGAGGTTATGACTGGAAATAAGCCCAAGTTAAACATGGAGTTTTGCCTGAGTAAGTGACGTAGCAAGTTAGAAATCAACTGTATGGAAATGGCATTGCGTAGCTTTTATCAAGGGTACCAATGTGGCATGTCATTTAAAATGAGCTTCGTGCATCTGGTGTAATAAACTTGTGAAATATGCATTATCCAAAATAATTTTATTTTGCCTTTTACTTAAATTGTTTTACTCTTTATACTGCTTTGTTCTGAGGGCAGCCACTTTATTTGCAAAAACTTGATTTATGAGTATTGTATCATTTTAATTGTCTTAGTATTATACTTTTATCAAAGCAAAACTTCATTGGAATCTTATTTTATTAGTATTCATTACAGATAACATTATTGTTTCTATATATTATTTCTCTGTGTCGTTAAAATCTGTCATTTCTAGGTAGGAACCCTAGGGACTTGCCTTTGAGTAAAACCAATACCAATTGGTGCTAATGATTATGTGCTAGTGATATGATTTCAGAAAGTAGGCAGTGGGCAGGGTCTGAAAGAGCATATCACTCATTCTGCCCTATTCCAGGCGTGTCTTACACTTGCTGTTTAATATATATGTCTGTTTCATAAAGTAATAATTTAAAAGTCATAGAGTAATGGAAAAGTCATGGAGTAATAGTTTAAAATTTAAAGTTGGAAAATTGATCTTAAGACCAATAAAAAGTCATGGAGTGATAATTTAAAATTTAAAGTTGGAAAATTGATCTTAAGGTCAATTCTCTTTTTTTCCCCCTTTCCAAGCTGAATGATCTCAAGGGTCTTCTGAAAGAGATTGCTAATAAAATCAAATAAAACTTTACGGATGCTGATGGAGGAAAATCTCATCATAGAAGGTAAATCATTTTAATGAGTTTTTGCCCTGAAAATTGACATGTTTTAAGATGAATCCAAAATCATGGTATTTTTCTCAGTTCTTTTATTTTCACACTTGATCAGACTGGAAAACAACGCATTGTGTAAAAACTTCAAACAGTACGGGGACATAGGGAGGAACAGTGGAGCCTTTCCTCACGTTACTTTTCCCACCAGTTTTGCACTGGCCGGAGGCTAGCAGTAAGGTCCAAGTATCCCTTTGGATCTTTTAAAAGCACCTGCAAACTCTACAGCTATTTTGGAATTAATGGAATCAAGGTCACATTGTTCTAAGATTTGGTATTGTTTTTCTTACTTAACTCTCTATTATGGATAGCATTACAGATCAGTGCCTAAAACCTGCACTTCATTCTCATGAGACATTATTTATGTTTATTGCTATGGACTATATAAATGTATGTTGATCACCTTTTCACTACCAGAAATGTTTTAGTAAGGCATTCAAGGTTTTTAGCAGTAGCTCATTTGCACAATAAAAATGTAATTCAATTAACCAGCAGAATAGAACCCAAGACTTTGCACCATGATCTTCCCATTTGCTTTAATTGTGTCCCATTACTTGTCCCAATTCTGAAACCAAATGTTAAAAGTGTTGTTAGGGACACGTGGAGCTAGGAAAAACCAGCAACGGGCATTCCATGTGACTAGGGTTTTTTGAGAAAGCGAATTGCAATTAAGACTTCATTTCTTCCTTCCTTCCTTCCTTCCTTTCCTCTTCCCTCCCTCCCTTCCTTCCTTCCTTCCTTCCTTCCTTCCCCCTTCCCTCCCTTCCTTCCTCTCTTGCTACTAAGTGCTGGCAGAACTGTGTTGGGATCTGTGCTGAGGCTCAGACACGGATTACTGCCTATGCTGTAGATACTCACACTGCAGAACTTCTCTTCACCGAGTGACTGTGTTATAGGGGTAATTGTGTTGCATCAGCTTCCTTTCAATATTTCTGGTCACTTGGTACTTTTCCTTGGGTTCTGACAATTATTAATCATATTAAAAAGCCCTCTTCTATGGAGGACGTTGTTTGAGCAATATTGATGCATATTTTATATAATCTGAAAGACGAGCATAGCTCCGTAGTTGCTCAAGAGAATAAACCTCCACATATTTAGGAAGAATGTATTTCAATTCTTTCATAGTAGTATTTAATGAAAACAATATTATACCTTACAATAAATTATAATTTGAGTTTTGAAACATTTGCCATTTTGTTTAATTGGTGAGCTGAAATAGAGAAAAAACAATCAGGGAGAGATAAAACAATTGAAAGGATTTTGAAAAGTCACAAAGGTGTAATAATAGAAAAGATTCAAAATGAGATGCGCACATCTGCCTTTCTGAGCTCTAATCTCCTCGTCTCTTGTTCTCTTTCAAATGTGTTGACTGTGAGTAAAATGAGCAGACAGACTGGCTTCTTACCAACTTGCCCTTTGCTTAAGCTGAACTTTTTACGAATATATGGTGAGCTAATTAATTGATGAATGAACTTGCATTGAGAGAAGGGCCTTACATTATTTCTCTGTGGGCCGTCCGTGAAAGAAAGAGGCTGAGAGGAAGAGCTTTGAGAAGACAGGTGCCCCGTAAATTCTTAACCACTGATATCTTTAGACGCAATGAACTTGGCATGCCCAATTTTTTTTTTTTTTGTATTATTTCTTCTTCTGAGTGTAACATCCACTTTCTTCTTTTTGGTGTTGCCTGGCTGGCATAGCCTTGAGAAGTTCTCTGTAAGTGAAATTTTATAGGTAACCAGCTATATGCTGCTAAAACATCATTCTTCTGGTTGTTCCTTGATACTTCTTTATCTAGTGGGGTGAAGGTAATCTTTCCTTGCGGTAGGGCCAGGGGAAGAGGATGACACCCCAGATGGGAGTGAACTGGCACCAGTGGAGGTAAGGCAGGGAGCCAACACTCTGAGGCAAGCCTTTATCTCTTTGCCCTCCTGAGCTCTCCATCCCTGCATTAGCCTTTGATCCAGTAACTTGGGCTGAAATCAATAGACAATTGTACAGACATTTTTCTTTCTCCCACGCTAAGGTGGAAAGGAAATAAGAACCAGGATGAGAGTAAAGCCATTTGTTTTTCATGCCTTTATACTTAGGAGTGGACACCTTCCCTAAGGACCATAGGGGAAGTAAGGTCACTGGAAATTGTTCAATCCCTACATAATAGTCCATTGATTCTTGTATATGCTGCACTTAAATTCTAGATCAGTGAAAGAATTTGAAGTTCCTTTGGGTGTCATCATAAAACTATTTCTATAAATTATTGCAGCTCTTAACTTTATTATCAGCTCACTCTTTTATTTACATGGAAGCCACTCAGCAGATAAAGTCCTCAGAAACTTTCCGGGTCCTAACCTAGGCTGAATGAGTTGAGCCTTGACCATTCAACTGTAGTCGTTCCATTCACACTGGCAAGCTGGTCAGAACTCACATCTTTAAGAGAACAAATGGTCTTGTAGCCAGTTCAACAGCAAAAGAAAATCTCTCAGTTTTTGGTGGTGTATTTGGACCCATGCCCAGTGTATCACCAATGTATTTTGAAGCCGATCGTATCCTGAGAATGGGAGTGGGAAATCAATTCTTAACACAGTGTTCTTTCTCTGTTTTCACAGGTCATCTCAGATATCTAAGGGAGAAAGATTCAAGGAATGCTGACTGAGCAACAATTTTCTTATTGCCCTAACTGAGATTGGTCAGGCCCTGGGTACACAGCAGATGGTTTTAATCACTCTAGCGTGCTCAAATCTGAGAATAAAACGTGTGATTGATTTCACACGTGAGGATGGACAGACAAGAAGAACATCTCCTACGACGGGCTTCCCCTGCAAGTGGCCCTATTACTTTGAGTCTCTGTGACTAGTTCTTGCTGTTGATCATTTTAAAGTGTGTTCCTGCGTCCTCGTTTTTCCTTCGCTTTTCTGACTTTTGACCCACGCCTATGATGTAACATGTCTCCTAGGAATGAGAACCTGGTCGTGCTTCCCTGCGGTAGCGTTATTTTGTTTATCTTCAGTTGATTCTCCACTATTTTCTAAAGTTTTGTATTATGTGACTAATTATTTGGCATATTGTTAAGTTTCCCAAATCAGATCAAACTCTAAAACATGCTGGAGCAAGAGGACTCTGCTCCTTTCAGGAGAAATTACTTTCATTTCTCTTTATGCTTTTTATCTATCAAAGGCTATCATAGCATCTTTCCCTCTCAACATTCACCAGGAACTCCAACTGAAAGAAGTACCCCATCCTTAACCATGTGAAAAATCACCACCAATAAATGGAAACCTGAGAGGCACCACTGATTTTGTTCTCATTGGGTGCTCCTCATATTTATGATTTTCTGATTAAAAGTAATTCATGAATATTCTAGAAAATTTAGACTACCCAGAAAAGTAGAATGAATATAAATAGTCCCACTACCTGAAGGTAATCACTCTTAACATTTCTGGATGTTTTTCCAAGTCTGTTTTTTTCTATGCATGTTTTATTTCTCTTTTAAAATTTTACCTAGTGTCATCATACCACATAGAGAATTTTACATAAGCTTTTTCACTTAATATTTAACCAAAGACGTTTTCTTTATATTCATGGTCTTCTTAAACGTTATATTAATAATTGTGTAATATTCAACCTCTAGTGATTTCTGTAATGTTGGTCACTGAAGACTGTTTCCAGTTGGCCAGTGGAGTGAGCATCTTTGTGCATGAATCTTTTTCTACATTTGGGAAAATTTCCCATGGCTAGGTTCCGAGGAATATGTATTGATCGTCAAATCATTTACAAGGGTTTCTCGTAAGTGTATAGCAAATAGGAATTATTAACTTGAGTATAGGATATGCCATACATGAACCTAGAACTATTAAAATAAAATATTATATTTAATCCTTAGTTTAGGAAGAAGCCAATATACTTATTTAAATATAATAGATGGTGAAGGCGTTGGTATAGAATTGGAGAGGCTATCTTGTTGAACACTCTAGTCTCAGTTTTCTCTGGAAGTAGTGGAACTTTGCCCAAAAGAGATGTGCTGGAAGTATATAAGGCAATCTAAATATCCATAAATAGTTATTTCAGCCTTGAATAGACTGTAGACTCAGTGGCTGAAGAAGGAAATCTTAGAAGGAAACTATTAAAAGATCATCTGATTAGAAAAATTACAAAGGCATGAACCAAAAAAAGGTTTTTTTTCATTTTGTCTGGGCAGTAGTTAAAATGACTACTCATAACATTCATAACGTTTGCAGGGAACGAACACAAATAGAAGGTGTCTTTTTACTTAAATCTCATTAATGGCCTAAAAGGGAATCTTATTCAATGGGGTTGATCCGTTGTGATTTTGGATGCTGAAAGTCGATGGGAGAAATTTTACATGACAAAATTTGTCAGTGAATGGAATTTTCAGAATTTCTCCATGAGGGAATCTCGCTTTCATTTCACTGTGGCAACTAGGATATCTGCCTTTCCTGAGACCACTAAGAAGAGGCTTATGTCATCTCCATGTTGACTGGAAAAATGGAAGTCTATGGCATTGTACGTAAGATGGTGCAGGGAGAAAAAACAGTCCCAACCTCTTACCCTCGATTTAAGTAGTGAATTTGAAGAAAATTAGTAAATAAAATTGAAAACCTCATCATAGCATGATTCACAACAACCAAGGACATGGAAGCAACCCAAGCGCCCATCAACAGATGATTGGATAAAGAAGATGTGGTATATATATACAATGGAATACTGCTGAGTCAGAAAAAAGACAAAATCATGCCTTTTGGGACAACGTGGATGGACCTTGAAGATATTATGTTAAGCAAAATAAGTCAAGTGGAGAAAGACACTGTGTGATTTCACTCATATGTGGAAGAAAAACAAACATGGAGAAGGAGAACAGATTAGTGGTTACCAGAGGGGAAAGGGGTGGGGGTAAAGGGACACATATGTGTGGTGATGAATAAAAACTAGACTATTAGTGGTGAACATGATACAGTCTGTACGGAAACTGAAATATAATAATGTAACCTGAAACTTATGCAATGTTATAAGCCAATACGACCTCAATAAAATAATAAAAAAAAGAAATGCCAAAAAAAGAGAGAAAATCTCCCAGAAGACAAAATTTAGCATTACTATTGGCTGATCCCCTTGAATGTGTTTGTCAGTATATTCATACTTCCACTGAGCGTGTTTTTGTTAAGGAGATAGGTCTGTGTGTACATCAGTATCAACATTAAAAGAAATGACACTAAAAGCTGAGCACTTGAACCCTGCTCAGAGTTTGCTTGTATTAGAGAGGGAATTGTTTGGTGTTTTCAGCTCAGCATGTCTGATCGATGTGTTTGTATGGTTACTCTGTGTGATTTTTGTGTGTGCTGAGTCCTTATTTTAGGTGTCGCTCAGGAAAATAGCGCCTGGATTGAATGTACCTCTAATGAACGTGTTGTCTTTGTGTAGGGTACCAAGTGTGTCCTGTGTCCCTGCACACAACCCCTGATGATCATGCAACTTGGTTCCAATGAGTGTGTCCACCAATTAAATAATGAGGAGGAACTGTCCTGTGTTGCTTTCGTCATTCTATTGGGAGTGAAAAAAGAAAATTCCTTAATTCAGTCAGATTCATTTCTATAGAGATTGGGTCCCCAAGTTACATGAGCTGACTTCTCTTGCAGATGACTAGAACATTCTGCTTGAATGGTAGTCAAAGGATGTGCCCTGTGGTTCTGGTTCTTGCCAGCATGACCAGATTCGCCCAGCCACCTTTTGGTCCCCACAGTTAGGCCTGTAGCCGTCTGTCTCCTAAGGGCCCCCAGCTTCACTGACTCAGAGCCACTCCTATATGTGACCACCCCTCAGATACACCTAGCTGTTTCTGAGGTGACAGGGGTCTCCTGTGGGCCCACAAACAGGTGCCCAGGGTCTTGAGGCCAAGGTGGATGTCCATTGTCCACAAACCCACGTGATGATGGAGCCTCAGGCCCAGCCTGGGACATGGTTTCCTTGCTGAAGGCAGGGTCATCCAAAAGCCACATTTGTCCCAGGGAGAATTGGGAAAGTGTGGCTTCCCTCACTCGGCTGCTTTTGGTCCTCGTGGGACTAAACTGTGTGGTTGCCACGGAGACAGCCGCTGCCTGCAGCCTCTGCCTCAAAAAGGAAAGCTCCGAAGTGAGGCCCCAGGCTGAGCCCGAGCTGGATTTCGGAGACAAGCATCCCAACGCCCTCCCCAACCTCTCAACCCAGGCACGATTGGACGGGCCTTTGTTCTCCTGAAGGTGGAAATGGCTGGGGGAAAGCAGCCTTTGGTGGCTGGCCCCACTCATTGGTCAGACCGGAGTGGACATTCTGAACTACAGTTAGCTTAGGACCCAGCTGGGGCTCTGGGGCTGCACGGACACATTTATAACATCAATTCTGTCAAATCAGTTTTTTTCCCCCTACAGAAGTCCTGTTTGACAAGGAGATAGTTCCCTCATTCTCTTTTAAATGCAATGTGTTGTAATTAAACGTCCACTGTGGGCCCTTCTTGGGGAATGAGGATGGCTCAAAATAAATGACAGGAATAGGAGGCCTCTGTTACAACCTATTAGAGGAGACGAGGTTGATTTAAGACACAGGACACTGACCCTAAGAGGCCGTACGCCCAAGGCAGAAGCAGGTGCAAGGGCAGTGGGACGCAGACTACAGAAATCCCCGGGGCGGAAGGATTCGAGAAGCACCTGCTTGTGCGACAGGTGGAGGAAATTGGCTTCCCCGGACTTCCTCTCAAGGAGACCACTCCAATATCTGTTGGCAGAAATGCCCTGAGAAGCCCCGTGGGCTAGAGAGCAGGGCCCAAGGAGCTAAAGATGCTGTGCATAGGCAGGGCTGAGGCATTTGGAGTCGCTGGGGCAAGATTAAGGAGGATTCATTGAGAAGGGGGGACAGCAAAAAGGGCGGGCTAGGAGGGGCGTGTTAAGGGGAGAGCAGTGTGCTCTTCTTGGGACCCCCTCCTGAGATGGTGCAAATTGTCAGGAAAGAAATATACAAACCATGAAGCAATCACGTGATCTTCTAGCCCATGGACTACGCCATGCCCGTGAGCCCCGCCAGCCTCCCGCCACGCTGGGTGATAGCAGTATCCTTCCAACACGTTTCCATCGAAGCTCTCACCTCTCCTCTTGATTCTTGACACTGTTCTGAGTTATCTTCTCGAAGCTCAAGATGGAGCCCACCATCGCCTGCCCATGAGAATCAATGGCTCCCTATTTGCTAAGTCCTGCCCAACTCCCTAATATGGAGTTTGCAACATGGATAGCCTGGCCCTTACCCACATCTGCAGACACATGGTGCGACCTCTCTGTCTAGTTCCAAAACTCCGGAAACAGCTGCCTGGCACACACTCCATGCCAACTGCCCGTGTGGCCCTCCTGGCCCAAGCTGGATGCTGTGTCCTCCTCCCCGCCCGTTTCTCATCACTGACTGCCCAGCGTTCCAAGTCCCAAGAAAACCACGCTGCTCATATTGTCCTCCCTTCCTTCTGGATTTTTTTCCCCTCTTCCCCCCCTCACCCCACTTTTATGCCTCAATGCTTTTCTAATAAGAGGTGGCATAGTGCCATAGTCTGGAACTACAGGACAAATTTGCCTGGTGTGAATCCCAGCTTCACTGTTTGCTGGCTGTGTGACTTTGGGAAGGTTGCTTAAACTCTCTGTGCCTTGATTTGCTGTGGCATTTCATAACTGTTCAGTGAATGTTGTCTTTTTTTTTTTTTTTTTTGGTGAGGAAGATTGTTGTTGAGCTAACATCTGTGCCAATCTTACCCCACTTTGCATGTGGGATGCTGCCACAGCATTGATTGATGAGTGATGTGTATGTCTGTCCCCGGGATCCGAACCTGTGAACCCTGGGCTGACAAAGAGGAGTGCGTGGACTTAACCACGATGCGACCAGACCAACCCTGTGAATGCTGTTTTTATTGTTACCACTCTCAGCTCTTCCTTTGTCCAAAGTCTCTTCCACCTTTCTTGCTGGTGAGCTCTTACCCTACTGTCAAGGTCCAATTCGACAATCCTCCCCCCTGGAAAGCCTGCCTTGATCCTCCACTCCCAGGGCAGCTCCATCCTGTGAGAGCTTCCTGACTCTTCCTCCTCACGGCACGTGTAGAAAACAGAAGCATCTGTGGGTCACCTGGGTGCTAGCTGAGGACTTCTGGAGACCAGAGGCCCTGGCCAGGCCCCCATCTAGCCTCCTCGCACTGGAGGATCAGCACCCGGGCGCACTTGGACCCCATTCCTGGTTGGGCGTCCTGGCCGGGAAGTCGCAGTTCTCAATTCCCGTCATGGCCAGTTTATGGGTCTCCCTGCCTTGCTGGAGTAGGAAGGGAAGAGACTACGTCTTACGGGTTTGTCTGACTCATTGAACCTAGACAACACCTGGTCTATTGCAGGAGCTCATTCGGGTATGTGTGTGCTTGAACGGAAATATTCTTCACTGTTCTCCAACATGCCCTGTGCTTTCTTCACTCATGTTGTTCCTTCTCCCTTCTTGGCTGGTTAAAATATGACTCATTCCCTATTAAGCACCATCAGGTCCTTTCCTTGTACCTCCAGGCAGAGGTCACTGGTCTTTCCCCATGTGAGTTTGCAACCTGATTTATAAACTTGACTCCGGCCCCTGTAGCCTGTCTACGAGGTGTCATGGTCATTGTATGGAAGCCTGTTCCCTCACTGGGTTAGGAGCTCTTGTGGGAGAAAGGCCTGGTCTTTCTCATTATTTCATTATGTCATGCATTCAGACGCTTGAGTTGTGTGCCTTACTGTGCCTGGATATAACCCTGACCCTGTCCTCACGGACCTTAGTGTCTACAGGGAAAGGCAAGTCCAAGGTCCTTGCAGTCCTGAGTCCCAGGCTATGATGGGGACTTTAGCACAGGGCTTCAGAGGAGCAAGGTGGAGGCGCTCCTAGCCCAGCTCTGGGAAGGAGACAGGAAGGCATCCCCAAGGCGGCCAGCGGTTGAGAGCACAAACTTGAACCGGCTCCCCTAATTTCAAGTCCTGACTGAAATATGCTTGGACCCGTGCCTGGCAAGGAGCCCGTGCCACACAATGTGAGCTATTGTCTGTGAAGGTCAATTAGTAACTTTGTTTAAATTCTGTGTTCTGGGCAAAATGTTTCACCAGGAGGTTATCCTGTGACATTTGCCCTCACATGTCAGGAAAGATTTTGCCAGGGAAAAATGAAAACAAGCCAAACCCCTCCAGGAGCCATCCTTGTATAGAGAATGAGGATGGGTGAGGCGGGCCTCCTGCAGGGGCGCAGGGAGCTGGGGCGTGGGCATGGGGGGGCACTGAGGCACATCTACACCAGCTCCTTTTGCTCCTCAACCCCAAAGGGCTTGTTTTTATCTTAAAAATAAGTGAAAAGGACACAGCTCCCAAATTAAGATCTTTAGTAGCTTTTTTCTTTTTCTTTTTTGGAGTTACGAAGTGGGGGAATAGTGTTTGCAATAATTTTGTACGGATGAAAGTGAAATTCCACGCCCTCATTGGCCTTTCTGCTTTTCCACAAGTGCAAAAGAACAAATAATGCTTCCAAGGGAGTGCTGGCTTCCTAGGGCTTGAGAATTAACTCCAGCTCACGTGACAGTTAATGGTGAGGGGTCTCTGTCTGGGTTTCCCACCTCCTTTCACTTTACCCTGAAACTTCCTGCATCCTCTTTCTTCCTCATTGTCTCCCTCCTTTCATTCCAGCGCTGGCAAATGGC